ATTTGTTCAGATGTAGCTTAACGTTCACATTTATTCATAACAGATAATGCAAACTACCATAAAAGAAAACTAATTGATCCAATCCCCAGTGAAGACAGTACAACATAGCTGAACACAGCCGAAAAATCAATACTCAGAGTTTTAATGTGCATTATCATGTATTAAGCCAGTACGTACTGTATCATGGCTTGTAAATTCTCCAGTTCTTAAAGCTCATCTGTTTTCACCTGTATGCTTGCATGAATTTCGATGACAACACTAGAAATAATTTGGAAATAATTGCTTTAACTGTCTTACAGAAATATACAGAACACAGGCAAAATGGGTGGAATAGCAAGTACACTAGAAACAGAAACAGTGACCATATACCACTAAATAGGTGTTAAAGAAAAATACAAACTAACCTGGTGTAGGCAGTACAGCAGTGCTTGCTGTATACACTCGCTGACCACATTATTATTTACAGCTACCTTCTATTTATGTTCATTTTCCATTTAACCAAGTCCACTTACCATATAGGTGCCCTTTCTAGCTCTACAATTATAGACTGCAGTCCATCTGTTTCTCTGCATACTCTGTTACCCGCTTTTACTCTGTTCTTCAATGGTCAGGACCCTCACAGGACCACCACAGAGCAGGTATTATTTTTGTGTTGGATCATTCTCAGCACTGCAGTGACACTGATGTGATGGTGGCATGTTACTGTGTGTTGTGCTGGTATGAGTGGATCAGACACAGCAGTGCTGCCGGAGTTTTTAAACACCTCAGTGTCACTGCTGGTCCACCAACCAAAAACAACCAGCCAACAGCGTCCTGAGAGCAGCGTCCTGTGACCACTGATGACCATTAACCAATGAGCTTATGTTTCTAACTTTACATCTGCAAAAACTAACAAGGCAGCAGTGTTTAATAGAGTGGACAGTGTTTAAAAACTCCAGCAGCACTGCTGTGTCTGATCCACTCACACCAGCATAACATAAACCAACACCCACCACCCAAATAATACCTGCTCTGTGGTCCTGATCATTGATGAATTGAGTAAACAGGTGAACAAATTATGCAGAGAAACAGATGGACTATAATGTCTAATATGCTTTCTACTGTCACATGACTGCAATGACACAAATTCCAGCTGGAGGGCAGCAAGTGAAAAGTAGAATGGACGATATTATGAGAGAAAGGTACAAACAGAAAATTACAGCGTACACTGGGTGTGATCCTTATGTTTTGAAGAGGAGTGGGTTTTAACCCGAATGTAAAGACTTGCCGGCTATTGAGGCAGTGGATATAAGCAGCCTTGTTCACCAGCCACGCTTCTACTCATTGCACCAACAATCTTGGTACCAAGGTGCTCCACAATGACTGTTGTTTGATTTTCTTTTATTGTCCTTTGGATTAACCTAGCAACAAACATTCAACTCCACAGTGCTTCTCAACATCAATGTTGTGGTTGTTTACTTGTAGGTTAACCACTCTCAAAGGTCGGGAAACGCCACTGAAGACGCTGAACATCGCGAACCAAGACAGAGAAGTCATTGCAGCTCACTGCAACTGCATGGCATGTTTAGTTATTTATGTTTACCTGTCGTTTGTGTAACTGTTAACCCCGATTTAAGTGTTAATGGTGTTGCTTGTAGCTTTATTTTACCCACAGATGAACTGTACAAAATACTCCACTCCTCCTGACCGCACGCTGAAGTCAGCTTCTTATTGTGTGATTTTGATGAATACTTTCCAATAAGGAGATCTAAGTGACTATAGACATGAACAGTTAACTCTAATGTCTACAGCCACACAGCCCTCCATAACAGATTCATCAAAGCAATAGGACTGCAACAATTCTCAGTGCTTTTACTTACAATTGTTTGATGAAATTAATTTAAAGTCAACCTGAAATCAAAATGGAACTTTCCTTTTTTAGTTCATGTTTATCTCATTAACCTCCATGGTCAAAATAATTCATCATATGACAACCTTCTTATTTTACCATAATCTTCCACAAAAGTTGAATTCAAATGTTTCAATGCCAGTGCCACAGGTGTATAAAATCAAGCACCTAGCCATGCAGTCTGCCTTAACAAACATTTGTGAAAGAATGGGCCGCTCTAAAGAGCTCACTGAATTCAAGCATGGTTCTGTAATAAAATGCCACCATTGCAACAGTCAGTTCATGAAATTTCTGCCCTCCTAGATTTTCCACGATCAACTGTGAGTGGTATTTTTGAAAGGTGGAAGTGTTTAGGAACCACAGCAACTCAGCCTTGAAGTGTCAGACCACGTAAAGTTACAGAGTGGGGTTGCTGAGTGCTGAGGCGCATAGTGCATAAAAGTCACCATCACTCTGTTGAATCAATAACTGCAGTTCCAAACTTCTTCTGGCATAAATATCAGCACAAAAACTGTGCGCCAGGAGCTTCATGGCATGGGTTTCCATGGCCACACAGCTGCATGCAAGCCTTACATCACCAAGCACAATGACAAGTATCAGATGGAATGGTGTAAAGCACGCTGTCACTGGAGTCTGGAAATGTATACTGTGAAGTTATGAATCACACTTCTGTATCTGGCTGATGGACAAGTCTGGGTGTGGCAAATGGCAGGAGAACATCATCTGCCTGACTGCATTGTGCTTCCAACTTTGTGGGAACAGTTTGGGGAAGGCCTTTTTCTGTTTCAGCATGACTGTGTCCAAGTGCACCCAGCAATGTCCATAAAGGCATGGTTGGGTGAGTTTGGTGTGGATGAACTTGACTGGCCCTCACAGAGCCCTGACATCACCCCCATCTAACACCTTTGGGATGAATTAGAATTGGAAGCCAGGCCCTCTCGTCCAACATCAGTGTCTGACCTTACAAATGCCCTTCTGGGTGAATGGGCATTCCCATAAACACACTCCAAAATCTTGTAGAAAGCCTTCCCAGAAGAGTGGAAGCTGTTATAGCTGAAAATGGGGGACCCAACTCCATATTAAAGTCTATAGATTTACAACAGGATGTCATAAAAGCTCCTGTAGGTGTAATGTGTAGATCTCCCAATACTGTTGTCCATACAGAGTACTTTTCTTGTGCAAATACACTGGCAGAAAAATGAGTGAAAACAAACCAGTAACCCAGTTGAAAACAAAAGGTAAATAAAAGTTGCTTCCATACCTTAAAGATGCTGGTGGTAGATGAAGAATGTGCAGGTGACTGCAAGAAGAGAAGATAACATTACATGGTTAACAATCATGAGATTCAGAAACATTAGTCTAACTGACCAGTGTCTAACTGACTAGTCAGTGATGGAGTGATTTCTTGTGCTAACATGAAATTCTTTATTCCACTTACCATACATAAATGAACATTCTCATAATGTTAATGCTCAATCCACATTTTATACAACAGATGCTCAATTTACAAAAGCTGAACACTGATATACAAATTCAAGCATGAAAAACTCAATCACTTAATTTATGTAGATTTTTTTTACTCTGTGGAGTTCCCCTTTAAAATTTTAACCTTCACTCCAGCACCAGTCACTTGACATCTCTCCCTCTAAGGATTTCTAATTTATACATACATCACAAAAGATTAGTTTCTGCTCTTCTGACACTCCAGCAAAATTCAGTCGACTCCATTCACTCAAATTTGACTAATTATTGTTGAAATCCATCATGGTTTATTACAAGTTAGCCAGAATCGAACCAGTCTTCCAGCAGAGCTGTTAGCTAGCTAGCCTGCTAACGTTAGCTAAGCAAAACTTGAGCTAACTTAGATAGGTAGCAACTCGCACTTCATTAGATTAACAACATGAATACGTTCCCATTTTAGATCACAAGCCTGCGTTTCTCGTGTTGTTTAATAAATACGTTGATAAATGGTCTTTACAGCGAATAACACATCACAAATAATTCGGTAATTAGTTTGAGTACGTCTGTAACACAAGCTGTTTTCTTTAGTTATCTGTGCCGAAAACAACAGCCCAGAAAGAGTCCGTTTTCAAGCTGCTATGATCGCATAGTCTTTGGCTAAAGCGGCGCATTTTGCTTAGAATCGTCCGTCCAACTTCAGAACCAGCGAGCCAACAAAATGATAGATCTGTACAAAGTCTTCAACTCGACATTCATTTTTTCCCAGGTTCTGATGGCCGATGGTGGTGTATGATGTGCTGCTAGTTAGCCTAGCCGAGTAGCTGCTGTCAGAGTCACTGCTTTACTCACAGGAGCAGTTGGTACGTGATGTTCCGGGTGACCGGTGCCACCGGCGAAAGCCACAAACCGAGCGGCGTGAGCAGCGAGTGGCACTCGTTACCAGTTATCGTACTGCCATGTGCCACTTAGCGAATGGCACATGCCAGTACGTGCCATTCCCGGACGGTGGAGTTGGCATTTCCTGATGCCAGATGCCAACCAGGGACTGAACCCGCTCAGCAAACCAAAACGTGTAAAACAAGCCTTATACTCACGCCAACCTGGCTTCCCTCTTGACAGTGCCAGCTGACTTACTTATTACTAAAATTAAACCCACACATTACTAAAATTAAACCTAACTTAGAAGGAGGACCAGCTGGTCATGGAAGCACAGGTCCTGGAACTACTTGTCCATTTAAACCAGACTTTCGAACCGGGCTTTGCAACCGGGCGGAAACACAAAAAGCTATTGGATAATTTTCTACAGCATGATGAAATAAAATGAGAGAGAGAGAGAGAGAGAGAGGTGGGGATGAGAGCACCCGCAGGTGTCTTCTCCATCTAACACAGACTTCATCAAAACATTAGCTTTATTTAAATTATACGTAAAATAGACACTCTACACATACAATTTCCGATTCATCGTTACGTATCAAAACCATTATTATGTAGAACTGAACTCAAATGTCCAGATCCCTAATAAACACATTGTCATTGACGAGATTCAGTCAACAAAAATAGCGCCCCTCATGCGCATCCTAATGACGTCATCAAGAGTGGCTCTCAGGTTGGTGAAGGTTGGTTTCCTTTCACCCAGTTAGATAAACACCAATTCCAGCTCCAGTACCATAGACCACCACCATGTCTGGTAGGTTAGGTTAGAGTTGGGCATAAAGTGCTTATCTCTTGCCACAGCGTCCTTCTCGAGGACCATAGCACAAGCCTCACAGAGACACAGACCAAAGCACTATTACTCCTCAGAGTAAGAAATATATTCTTAAGCAAAATAGCTAAAAGGCTCAAATTTGATTATGGAAGATAATCTACATCCCTTTATCACTTATGTATAAACAAAACATCTCCCCTCATAGACACAGTAAACTGCTGCAACAGCCAGTGAAAACTGAGAGCACGAAAGAAGAAAATTACAGCAAATAAACAAAGAAAAATGGCGAAAAGTCACTCATGGGTGGAGCGAAACTTTTTAATGAGGTGAGTTAAAAGCACGAGCTCGAATTTATTTACATTTAAAACTTTTAAAAAATACCACACTGATCACTTTTAAATCCATGATCCTCACTTAAACATGTTTACCTGCTGCGTCTTTATTGTGTCAGCTCAAACGGCAGAAAAACAGCAGCAGCAGCAGCGCGCCGCTCCATGTTTATTTACCTGCGTCTTCTAGGAACCAGAGAACACGTGAGCTCCGTTCTGTTGAGCAACAGCTTAACCCTTTCAGGCCCCGCGGCCATTGCAATGGACATCATGTGTTTTCTTCTTTGTATGTTATGCTTTGCTGTACATAACACTGAGACCTGTTGTCCATCCGAAAAAAGGTTTAACGGCCAATCAAACAGCAGCGTAGCCCCTCCCATTGCATTGCTGTCATTTTATGTGTTTGTTACGTTGTTAAGTGATAAACTGAGATAACAAGTTCAATAGCAATATATAGCAACTTTATACACATTTTTTTTAGTCTTATTGTCCATCACGGTGGACAGTGGGTCTTGATGTATATTGTTCATATTAGCTTTTTAGTACTGCTGCTAAAATTTTTCTTTGCAGTGACAGTGTATTCAGACAAATCCTGCATAATATACAGTGTATAGTAAGATGAAAAATATTCATTCTACAGAGTACACAGCACTTTAAGTGCTTCAGTTAACTGACAGTGGAAACATCTCCGAAATTGAAAGCTTGGCGATGAGGATGAAGATGTAGAGCATTCTAGACTATGCTCTTAGAAGATGTTTTTTCAAGGGTTCTTTAGTAAACACATTGGTTCTATTTAGAACCGTGAACAGTCAGAGAACCCTGTGTATGATTAAATTATTCTTTGCAATCGTATAAATAGAAAAACATTGTTGGTGCTACATTGATGCCATCAATCTAAAGAGCCATTTCACCATGCAAAGAACCATTTAATCATGCAAAGGGTTCTTTGAGTGTTCATGGTTCTAAATAGAACCATTGTCTTTACCAAAGAAACCTTGAAGAATATTTTTTTGTATGTGTGTAAAGCAATCTGTGAAAAAATATTGCTTTATTGTAAAGTTTGGTGTTCTTAAAAAAAATAAATATATAGACAATAACTATATAGAAAACAGTATACAGTATGTCATACAGCGTACAGTTACAGACAAGGATAAACAATAAAAAGGAAAGCACTGGAGCTACTGTTTAAAATGATGCGCTGCTTCAACATGAGTAAAGTTTGGTGTTTTTAAAGGTTTTAATGAGTTCTTAAAAAAAAAATTTCAAATACGACCACTTAATCAGTGATCAGTTTGTGTAAAGTTGTTCTCCTTGGTCTACTGTTAGATCGAATAAACTAAATCGGTTTTTATAGCATTACTTTACAGTTGTTAAGACTGAGCGTCCACTGCAGTGGACATATAAAAAACAATAATATTTTTTTTTACTGAGCTTTGTTTTTTATAGTATTCAAGACAAGAAAACATTATTGTTTTATTTTCTCCATCACAGGAACATAATTCACGTCTAAAAGGGTTAAAAGTTTCAGTCGCCCAAAAAATTTGCGAAAACCAGTCGGACAGTGTGAGATGCCCAGTCTCTTTATATTTTGTTAAGACTTCAAAACGCCTGATGAACAATCACCTGCACGCGTAAAAACCATCTCCACACGTAAAAAATGATCGGAGGCCAGTAGTGCCAAAACAGCTCAAGACTTTTCACCTACAGACTGCAATATCATCACTGTACAGGCGTAAAACTAATACGTGTACAGCCGTGAATTTTTTATCATGTGCAGGAGAAATTTATTTACTTGTAATAGTGGCAGGATTTTACGTGTCTCAACGCCGTTTTAAAGCTTCAAGTATAAAAATGATCTACACTATTTTCCAAAGTGTGATGCTGCCCCCTAGTGGGCCAGTGTATTACAATTCCACATAAGAGTTATCGGACCTCTCACCGTCTTCTGAGATGGCGTCTGGCAGGTACGTTTTACCAAAAAAGCCGATTTTTTTATTTTACAATATTCTTATTTTGCCTTTTTGACCTAGTTTTTGTTTAAATATATAATTTTACTAGTAATATTGTAAATAAAGTCAACTATATTCAGCAGCCTAATGTACAAGACACGTTAACCTTGAAATGGAAAAAATGGCTCTCATGTTTCCATGGAATGTTCATCAAATAAACATTTAAATGACAGGCTTTTACATTCCATATTGCTAAAGTAGACACAGGTACACATAAATATGCACATACAAATGCTACATTAATTTCACAGTTTCTCTTCTTTTGAGAATACTCTAACAGACTCCAAACAAAGCCATGCTTTTGAAGTTAAGATGTTAAACTTACTTTTCAAAAGAAGCTTCTGCATCTGTCTCTTACCTGATGAAAAAAGACCATTAGAACTATTAGGATTACCTGACGGTTTTGTTTTTTAATGGGAATTAGCTTAATGGTTACCATTAGAGGCCATGCTTTTCTGTAGAACACCTTTAGATATTGAATTCATAATCATTAAAATGAATGTTTTGTTTTGGATCGAGACTGTGTAGGAGGCTATTCTTAGATGTTTGTTTGAATCGTGCTCATCTCTGCTCTTTTTTCCTGTTAGTGCTTTATTTGATCTAATTTGGTTTTGTCTCCTGCTTTTAGGCTACTGCAGCTGACTGCATGGTTTACCCAGCTTTACCACTCCGCCTTTTCTTTTTCTCTGCTTTGGCTTCAAATGCTTGTTTAGGGCAGTTCCACAATCTGTGTTTGTAATGTGTAGAACTGGGACTCAAGAAACTGCCCCACAACTACCCAGCTTTTAAAAGATTTTTTTTAAATGCGACATTTTCTAACAATTTTCTTAGGAGTTGGTTCAATAACTATACCCAAATGTGTGTTTTAGAAATAAATTGTCTGAACTTTGTAAACTATTTGTAATAATGTAAAGATTTTTGGTTCAAGTGATTTTACTAAGTCGGATATTATATATGGAAAAGCCATCCAAGACACAGATTCTGAAATGGTCATAAATGTTATTTTATTGTTGGCAAATTTTGTATGCATAAAGTAAGGCATCTGAAAACAACATCTTTCTACATATTCCACAAGGAGCTCATGTACTACTTCAGAACCTTAGACACACGAAAAGGAAAAATGCAAAAAAGTTACTAAGATTAATGAATATTGTTTAATAGACAGAGCTTATAGAGATTGTCACCCCTACTTCTTCCCTTTTATTCATTTATTTTTTTATTTATTCTGCTTCTGAATGTATTTTGGTACTTGAATTTGCTGACTGTGCTCGGTTGGTGTGTAAATGACTGTACACTGCACTGCCTTTACTGTTTGTACTTTGTCTGCAAAATTAAAAAAAAACTCAACATGTTAGAGCAAACTTACAAATAAAGTGGTAATTCAATTGATTTATAGTTTTAGTAGCCTTTTTCTGAAAGGCTAATGAATAAGCGGGGTAGATACATCTTGCTAAGCTTTCCATTTTGGTTAAATATATTAGACCGAGGACAGACGCGTCTCTCTTTGACCTGAAGAGAGTCCCGGCAACGGAAGTTCAATACGATTGATGGTCACGTGATTCAGGCAGACTTAAGATAGTTCCCGGAAGTTCTTAGCGGGCAATTTGAACGCATAAACACAGAGAGGCAGAGCTGCGACGTTTGGTAATAAATAATCAATAAAGGCATTGATATATATATATATATATATATATATATATATATATATATATATATATATATATATATATATATATATATATGTATGTGCAGCAGATACTCTTTAACCACTAACGAGACATGACATAGAAATGAAGTGAAGCTTGTTCTGCCCGTATGGAGCTCGCCCCGCCCGTTGACCAATCTCCTCTCAGCTCCTGCAAATCTCGCGATATTTATCGGGTTGCTGCAGCTTTTCTGAGGTAAGGTCCTGAAAGCTTTATATTTAAAGTTAGTACGGCTTCCTTTACAGGCTCATAGAAGTGTATAAAAATAAATGCGGAGAAATAGAGCAGTTGTAGCTAACCGTGTCATTTACATGCGAATGTAAAGTCCAGAACAGGAGCTTTTTGTTCTTCGTTTAATATGGCGCTTGTTTTTAAAGTCAAATCTGCATTGCTCTGTATCCTACAAAAGTCGACCCTTTTCAATGCTGGAAGTGGGACAGGCTGCTGCACACAGGACAGCGGGATAACTTATCTGTGATTCTTACATCCTATAGGTGCAGAGAAAACATCCACTCTCTGCTTGGAGTCCTACGTAATCCAGAATCATCTCTCTGTAGTACTCATGTTAGAAATGGCCGCTGTTTGGTTTGGTTAACGTTACTACTCAATACATGTCTACAATGTCCTGATAACATCACACGCTGTTGTTGTGTTTTCAACAGTCCTAAGGGATGCTAATCGCCAGAAGTGGATAGTAACTCAGCCATCAGAACGTCGTCAAAGCGTATTCACAAAGCTTCTTTGATTAGCAGTGCCAAGATCAAATTCTTCTTAGACTTCTTAGACCATCTTACTGACTGGAGCAGAGCCTAGTTCTGAGCTGAATACGGGATCACATTTTCTGAGTCTTTATACTCTTACACGACTCCATGTTAGTCATCCACATTTAGTTCCTAATTCTTTTTCACCGTTAGATTATATTCTGATCAGTGACAGCACTTAACTGTTTTCCCTTATGCAAAGGAAATACGTTTCTGTCTTTCTAAATATGTGTCAAGTTTGTAATGTTTGTACATGTAAATATTAAAAATTGATACTATCAAAAACATGCATATATTTCGATATATGGACATATGTGCATATATTGGCGTATATTTAAATATTAAAAAAAATGGCACAGTTAAATATATTTACTAAAATGTTTTTAAAAAACATCACATATTGCACATATATTGCAGGTCATATATTTCTAGTCGTCTCACCTCTTTCTTTTGAGCATTAGCATTTTATTGTAGCCTGTAGAAAGGCTATGTAACATTAGAATTAATGTAAGTAAACGTAAATGCAGTAAAAAGTACATTTAGAAAAACAGGTTTGGTTCATGTGTTCTCACTGCTCTCCAGCCTTGGCATGGATTCCATCAGCAGCACACCTGATTTAATTTAGCTATTTAATAAGCAGGTGCTGGATGATAACTGTAATTCCTGGACTTTTCTGAGGAGAGGTTTGGAAATGGTTAAGCTAACACCCTGACATACATAAAATCACAGAATATTGCTTATTCATTTATGTTTAATAAATGAGTAAATGCTTGTTGTCAAGATAAACAACTTTCCATCTAATTTTCTCAGAGACATTGGGACATATACCATATCCACAATATACTCAGAAAAGCATGTTGTGACATAATGTGATGTAACTTATCACGATAATGTAGAATATATCATATTCCCCACCCCTAGCATATATTAGATACACAAACACTCCACAGAAGCATGACAAATTAAATGGAAAACCTAAATAAGACAGACAGGTACAATGCATAATACAAACAGGCTTTTTTTAGAGACTATTTTTTATTTGTGGATTGTTTTAGGCCATTTAGTTCAAACTGTCAAACTATATGATTGGCACAAACATGTTTAATGTCTGTTGCAGCTGTTAATAAAACAAATCTCTGTATTCTGACTTCTCTGTTCCTGTTTTAAACCTGTAGGTCATACAAAGCAGAATGTCTGAGCATCCACAAACTCAGGCTTCTAATTTCCTGGCGTTCCATTCAAAAACCCATAAGGACTCCATCCTGAATAAATTTGACACATTGAGAAAGAAAGATATACTTTGCGACATAACTCTTGTTGTGGAGGACGTGCACTTTAAGGCACATAAGGCTCTATTGGCTGCAAGCAGCGAGTATTTTTCATTAATGTTCACTGCAGAAGACCAGGCCAGCCAATCCATCTACAAGTTAGAAGGCATGGCTGCGAAGACCTTTGCAACTGTGCTTGAGTTCATCTACAGTGCACAAGTGTCTGTGGAGGAGAGCAACACTGAGCAGCTGCTTGATGTGGCACGTTTGCTGGAGATCAGTGATTTGGTGAAAGCTCATGCAGAACTTCACTTGAGCAGCTCAGCCACAGTGCTGGATGCTTACTCAGAGGGAGGAGGTGGTGACACAAGCACAGCTGGAATCCATCCGAAGCGCAAAAGAGGGCGGCCAAAGAAGAACACAAATAACCCAACATCAGGTTCAGTGGTTCAGGAATTGAGCCAAAAGGAGAACGGACATCCTGCTGAATCACAGACTGAGACCACAAAACAAATGACACTGGATTCATCTGTAGATTTTCCAGAGACTGCAGAACATCTGTCTGATTCTAATCCCTTTCCCAGGGACTCAGACGATGCTGACTATGACCCAAAAGAGGACAGACAACGCCATAGCAAACGCAAAATCAGGCAGCCGGCGAAACTAAAAAGCTACAAGCTAGGAAATGAGATTAATGAAGAAACAGTGCCAGGAAAAAGGGGTAGAAAAAGGAAATACCCAGCTACAGAGCCATGCTGTGATGACTGTGGCAAAGTTTTTAAAAACCATCTGTTTTTAAAAATACATCAGCGAACCCACACAGGTGAAGCATCTTTCATTCATGTGTATGTATATTCATTTGGTTCCTCACTAAAATATTAAAGTAAATTTACTACTGGTTCTTTTGCAGGTGAGAAACCTTTCAAGTGCCACATTTGTGGGAACTGCTTCACACAAAAACACACACTTTTGGTTCATCAGCGCATGCATACTGGAGAGAAGCCCTTTGTCTGCACTATTTGCTCTAAAGCTCTTTCCACCAAACACTCCCTGCAGGAGCATATGAATCTGCATGCAGGTATGGAAAACTATTTTGGCATTGCTGTGCATTTTCATGGTCATTGCAATCCCCAGTCATGCACAGTCATATAGATACCTACATTTCTGTTTATGTTGGCTTTTTTTTCAGAACAGAAATCTTTTAGCTGTGATCAGTGTGGGAAAACCTACAGTCAAAAGAGGCAGTTGAAGAGTCATTACCGTGTTCATACAGGCAAAGCACTGCCTGAATGTACACACTGTCATCACAGGTTTATGGACGCAGCACAACTGAAGAAGCATCTGAGAACACACACAGGTAAAGGTGACATGTAGTCTTAACCCAAACTGCCTAATTGCCTCAGAAACAACAGAGTTGTTAAGTAACCAATAGTACGAATCTTATTCACATTTCAAAATGTCTCTTGACATATAAAGTTAAAGTGCTACCGCCTCAGTTGTTCCTCAGGGGCACAAAATGTCACTTTAATTCTATGACCCGTTTGACCTTAGCAAGGTTTGGAGAGTTAATGCTAGCTATATTAACCTAATGCTAGCTGCCTTGGGAATTGGGAATAGCTAAACTGTACCTGATTTTTCAGTTTCCAGTGTCAACCTTGGAAGGGGAGAAGTTTTAGCACTGGAGAAGTAGATTGTCCAAAGAAAAAAAAACAGCCAGTCTATTGATGTATGTGTTGTGAAAGGATACATTTTTCAGACATTAAGTCCAAAGCTTTGGAGTTGACTCCTGATTCCCAAATCCCTGGAATCAGATAATGGACTCTTTTTTGGAATTGATTCCCAGTCCTACTATTTGAGATTACTGAAGAACTCAGCATGGTTTGAGGCAAGTTTAATGATTGAGATGTGCAGTTTGCTAAATGTTAAATGGTGGTTTATTACTTGTTAGCTACATTAGTAGCTACTACTTTGTAGTTCCTTTAGTTACATTATGCCAGTTTAAAAAAGGGCATATAGTCAGTCTTTATAGGTAGAATTTACACTAGTTTAATTGCTTTTGCAGGTGAGAAGCCTTTTACCTGTGAGATTTGTGGGAAGTGTTTCACAGCCAAAAGCACACTGCAGACACACATCAGAATCCACAGGTAGACTGTCTTCTGTCTTCATTAGACCCTGACAGATTATTTCTGTTTTCAGTACTGGTGGTGTTGACATGTAGTTTTTTCTTGGTTAAATTTTGTTTAGAGGAGAAAAGCCTTATGTGTGCAACATCTGCAACAAGTCCTTCTCTGATCCCAGTGCCAGAAGGCGTCATGTAGCCTCTCACACGGGGAAAAAGCCCTTCACCTGCTCTGTGTGTAGTCTGTCATTCGCTCGCCTGGACAACCTGAAAGCACATGTTAAAACTCACAACAAGGAGCGTCTGGTTTCAGAGCCAACTGAAACAACCGTGGTGGAGACCACAGCAGAAACTGAGGAGATGCATAGCATCCTCCATTTGCAGCAGTACCACCCAGAACAGGAGATCCAGCTGGTTGTCACCAGCGAAGTGGACGACATCAACTTGGTCCAGGGCCAGAAGCAGGCCATCAGCATCATCACCACTGAAGGTACCCCTGAGGAGCTGACTGCGACTGAACAGTCCCACTCCAGCCTCACTCTCCTCACCCAGCCTTCAGGGCATGTCCAGAACCTGGCATTGGTCACTCAGGATGGACTAGACCCCAGTGGCCAGATCCAAACCATTAGTGTGGTAGAGGGCCAGGTGAGCAGTGGCCAGTCAGAGCAAATGCATGTCATCACGCTGACCAAGGAAGCTATGGAGCAGCTACAGGTTCACCACGGAGCTCCACAACAGCTACAAATTAGCCCACAGCCCCTTCAGCAGCTACAGGTGATCCAGCAGGCCATCCCACAGCTTTCTATCGCTCAGGAGCCCCCTGCTGCCGAGGTGGAGCTCACAAGGGAGCAGCATAGCCAGGGCCACACCGGAGCCATCCATATCAGCAGCCAAACCAGCCAGCCCATCTCCATCAGCCAAACCAGCGAGCAGATCCCCAGTGGTCAGATCCAGGGACAGACATTTCAGATCCAAGCAGGAACAGTTTCCTACCTTTACACCACCAGCCTGGCTCCACAGAACTGATGAGCAGTCTAAACAGGTTCATAAATTTTTTGGGTTTGTGCTTTCAATTGTAATTTGATGGAATCAGTGTACACTTGATTCAAAAGTATACACTGATTCCTCATCTATGATATAACATCACAGTTATTGCCCTGCAGTAATTGTATTGATGTGCTGTATTCATATGGAACAGATGTACACATTTGAAACTGATTCCATATGAACAAGACTATTACATCACAATTGCAGTTGCATACAAAAGTTTAGGTACCCTGGTCAAATTAATGTTTTGTTGATGAAACAGCAAAGTGAAGCTACGTTAACACATCCTCTGCAGATTTTACAGACATCTACACATTTTATTGCACAGTTACGGTTTATTTGCTGAATTTAACATATTGGTTATAAATCAAACATAAAATGCGGCCTGTGTAAGAGTTTTCATATTGTATGTTTTATTCTTCCAGTATATCACAAATAAATAGACATTGTGCTGTACAATATGCAATAATATGCCATATATAAGTTTGTTCCCTGTAGAGGATGTGTGAACTTATTTTGACTTAGAAAATCAACCAGTTGCGTCATTGGACCAGGGGTTTTCAAACTATTGCATATTGTCCTTCGTTTTACCTGGCAACAAGTGTGTGAATATTTTTTTTATATTTTATTCATAGAAAACAGATGTATCCCCCCCCCCAACGCAAATGTATCTCTGTTCTTGTCAATTTTTAATTTTATTTTAGGTGTTTTTTTATTTATTTTTTTTATGTAGAATTTTTCATGATACGTTGACCAACAGAAATGCTCCAAAATCACTTGGAATAAAAGCTCTTTACATTAACCTACATTAAAGTTTAAGATCATTTTTGTCTTCGCTTGTAAAGTTATTATTTTGGAGGTATTACAATTTTTTGACAGTGACGATATATATTGAGATCTATTATGACACCTCTATTGTCCTTCAGTTTACCTGCTATTGGCAATAATTGTGTTGCTGTAAGATACTTTATTCTTGTGAAACTGATACATACACACTGATTCCATGTGAATAACGTATTGTGACATCACAGTACGGTTCACCTGCTTCTGACAACAGTTGAGTAGCTGTGAAACCAATGTCCCTTATATTATGACATCACTAAATACTGTCCTGCTGTTCTACTTTTGGCAACATACTTTATTCATATGGAACCAGTGTACAAATGTGAATTCGTTGAATTTGATGTACACCAATGTTGGAAATTCACCAAACTATTCTTTCAGCATATTTATTACTTGAAATCAATAGCATATCAGAAATGTTTTATTTTTTATGTAATTTATTAGATGGTTTGGTCCAATAAAGGTGGAAAAGAGAATATGTTGAAATGGAAATATTAGTTTATTAATGGCATATTATATGAGATGATCATCAGATTTCTAAAAGATCATGTATAACAAAGCACAAATTATTAGAAATATAGTGTTCAGTTTATTTAAAGGGGTGCCTGTGACAAGATGGCACACCAGCATGAAACAGCACATGCATGAGGTAAATTGTCAAACACACAACTCCTTAATTCAATGAAACCTGCTTAACATTTAAAGCTATATAAGTCATGTGAGCAAAAATAGTGAAAATGCCATCAGAATGTGTGCATGCAGCTGGGTTTGGTGAAATTGAACAACAGAGAAAAGCATGAAATTATTTGTGACACAGTCTAAGATTTTGGCGTGACTTCTGATGAAGAGGTGTGAAGGTTCTGTCAGGGAGGTTGGGTAACAAGATGTCTGTAATCTCCGTACGCAGGCGCCACTGGGCCTGTGAATTAGGGGCATAAAGGTTTTAAACCAGCCTCAGCTCAGATACGAAATTCTACCTCTTAGCAGTCTAATTAACATAACTAGTCTCTGGACTTTTCAGGGCTTTGGGGGCATTGTAATGCAGGTTCATTTTTTACATAACTTGAAAGACTTTGTAATTTCAGGGAAAATAAACTTACTGTTTTTGGTCTCTCAAGTAGTGTCCCAGAGCCTCTTCTAGCTGCTGTCAGTCTAGGTGCAGCCTCAATATCAGAATCTTCAGATGTGCTGTCTATAAAGCCACTTACTTTTGTATTAGACAAAAAACAAACCATGAGTTTGTTTGGCTGAAAATGCAATATACAATCACATATGGTCACCTGAGAAATGAATCTCACCAGCTGAGGATTTTTTTCTGTCACTGGCTCTGCTGGAAGAAGCAGTCTTACATCCTGAATAAAAAAGGGACAAAATGTCAGTCTAGTCTAAAACATTAAGTGTGTCCAAATGAATCCAGAATGATGTAAATAAATCACTGTGAGCACCTAAAGGAGAAAGATGTTTAGATAGTGCTGTCTCAATGCTGTGGATCTGGTGCTGTAGTTTGTCCACTCTCTGAAAGGCCTCCAGTTTTAGACAGCGTTCATGACTGAGCTGGTTCCGCACCTTAAAAATGTTCACAAAGCAGAGTATTGCAGTGCTATAACATAGGTTCTATATAGCAAAATATGCTGTTCAAAACTCTCTATTACCTTAAAGCAATAGTTAAACGAAAACTCAAATGTACACAGTTTCCCCCTTACCCCAAATGTAATTTATCAGCAATTGTCTGAGGTTTGCCTCTTTATTTTTTCGCAGGAGCTGGGTAATTCTACCATTGCTGTGTCAATCAGGGTACAAATGCTGATATGTAATTCAGATAGAAAACACAGTCTGTTATACTGAAGAACATCACTAAAGTTTTAACACCACTGACCATAACACGACTGACAAAGTGACTCAAATCTGAGCTTTTCTAAAATATAGTCCACTGCCACTTTAGTTTCAAAGCCACATTATATGTACAAAATGATCAATATTGCATTTATGTTTTGTTTCAGTTTTAACATTCATTTGGTGGGTAACACCACTGACACAATCTTTTTGTGACACGAAGCTGTCATATTTTAGCCAAATTGATCAGAAATAAAAGAGACTTTACTGACTGTACACTTCTCAGAGTTATTCTTCCTTTGAGATATCTATAGAAGAGGTAAATCAGAAAAATCTTTTTCATGCACTAAACATGACTAAAAATCACAAAAATAAAGATTATTCTAGTTTGGAACAGAATAACAAATAAACAGACTACAATACACAACTTTCTGTGGTTTATTCCTATTTTCAGCTCATTTTCATGGCTTTAAAACTGTGGGACACCATTTGCACCGCAATGGTAGAATGACCCAGCTTGAAGGCTAATGTAGCTAACAAGTCGTGGAAATATAAAGCCCATCAACTAGCACTGTGCAGATTGCATGCCTAAAGCATACGAACATGATGGTAGGTAAATAGAACTGTATGTGTATTATAGTTCAACATAAAGAAGGTTTCATTAAGAAGTTTGATATTCCAGCATAAACTCTGTACTACCTTTTTAATCTGGTTGTGAGTGCGCTGTTGCTGGAGCTCACTCTCTCTGCTGGTCTTTTCCAGCTGGGCGCTGAGGGCTCTGAGCTGACCCTCCCTCTCTTCCATGTCCTCCTGTAGTTGCTCCACACTCTGCATGCGAAAGCTCTCCAGCTCTTGCTGGCTCCGTGCCTCCTGCACTGACCGGTGCTCCACATCCTGTAGCTGTTGGGTCTGCGGTCATGAAAAAACTGATTGGCTCTATCAGTGATTTGTATATAGATCATTACATTGAATGAACAGTTAGAAAAGGTCATTTTTTTGGATGTGAGGCTGTACCTGCTTAACAATTTGTTGCTTAACATGTTCATATTCAGTTTTACACTGCAGCATGGCAGCCTTCACTGCTTCAAGCTCCTGCTTCAGTATCGTCTCCCCTTCCTGTGATGTCATCTTCACTCTCAAAGCCTCCACTTTACAAGATATCTCACTCTAAACATGTGTTGATGACAAATATTAGTAAAATGGTAAAAGACTTTGGTGTAAGCACTATTATGTTACCTGAATCTCAGTCTAGCTTACCTGTTGGCACTGAAGTAACTCCTTTTGTAGCTTGACCTGTCCAATCACCTGCCTCCAGTGGTGAAAGGCTCTTAATTTACAGAGAAGTCCAGCCAGTTGACTATTTTCTGAATAAAGATCTTCTAATATCTCTTTCTGATGAAGAAATATAGGAGTAACACCATGTAAAACACTGATGGGCTTTTATTTGTGATTTAATGTGACTGATGTGACATTAACCTCAGAAAGGTTGCTGGTCATGTCCTCATTGTTTCTAGTGGAGGAAAGCTTGTTCCTCAGCTTAATGATCTTGTCCACTCCTTCATGTCTGACCCTGCTGACTAGCTGCTTCACGTCTTGGTCCATTCTGACATGATATTTGTCAAGCCTTGCCTGTACACCAGAAAGACACGGACAGCTAAGTAACCTTGAAGTGAATGTGAGTTAAAGCCAAACATTTGTTCTGAATTTAGATAAGTGCACGTTCACACCTTCAGCTGAATGCAAGTTGAGAAGAGCTGGCGAAGCAGTGAGTCATAACGCTGCCTGTGTTCCAGGCTGATCTGCTGTCGGATGCATTTCTGCTCTTCTTCCAGCTGAGTAACTCGGGCACGAAGTGCTGTTACCTCAGCCATCATTCCACGGCACAGCTCTGCTACCTATGATAAAAGCTTATCCGTCATTGTTTAGAGCTACACCTTTTTGTTTCTACTGTAGCATCCAAACTTTCCCTCAGGGATAAAAAAATGAATACAGAATTTTGCATATGTCAGAAACCACTCTTCATGTTTTAACTTTCCAGTCAAAATAGTCATTAAGTACAAGTCTTCCATTTTTCAGGAGATATTTCTGAGAAGATTAAATATAAAGTAATCCACTGGCATAAGTAAGGGGAAAGTCAAAGGAAAATAAGTGAAAAAACAAGAATTACGAGTGTCCAAAAAAATAATAAAAGATACAGAGGAAATAGACTCCTTACAATTGTGCAAGACCAGATAAACCAAAACAGTATTTAAAGCTTTTATCTTTTAGTAGTAAAGAAAAATCAAGCACTCTTGCTTCGAATCTCAAACTCTCTAAGGTGTTTCTGTCCATTTTTCCACTGAGAGAAGACAACTCAACACTATGGGTCTGGAAGGATGTCTAGCTGTCAAGAAATGGTTCCTCAAAAAAGGAAATAGACAAAGAAAAATCAAACAAAGAAGCTGCCAGTGTTCTGGAAAAATGGACTGACCACCAGAGAGTTCAGACCTCAATATCATTGAATGTGTTTGGGATTACTTGGATTGTGAGAAGCAGAAAATGCAACCAACTTCTAAGACTGAACTTTGGAGGTGTGGAAAAATATCCCTGTAGATTCCTTTGGAAAACTAAAAGCAATTCTCCTGAAAAAAAAAAATGCTGTAATAAAGGCAAAGTGTGGACAGACTAAATGCTAATTTTTGAGGCATTCAAGTAATTTATGTTTTCTGCTGTTTGTCCTGATGCTGAAAAAAAAACTTGGCATGGTCAAAAAATATTTGTTTTGACTGGAAATTAAATAAATGAAGAATCTATCGGCCTAACTGTCTAAACTCTTGAAAACCCTTGCTGAGCATACCTTGCTGTTGGGATCATTTGCCTGTAGATGTGCAGCTTCAAGCTCCTTTACATCCTAGAAGATCATATTGTGAGTGATGAGAACTCACAATAAAACTGCTGACAGAAAACTGACTGAGAAGTGAGGTGAATAGAGAGTTACCTGCTCTCTCTGATAGAGCAGCTCACCCTGCTGCTGTAGGAGCTGCTCATAGAACTGAGAGTAAAGCAGGAAGTTGCTGCGCTCACGTGCCGTCACAGCACAACCCAGCTCAGTCACACACTCCTGCAGGTGAGCCGTGGAGACACACACCTGCCAGGAACATCATCAGCTCCGCATGGTACCCTTAAATAAGCCTTTAATACACCTAAACATGGTGCCCCTAAAAACTCATACATCAGAGACTCCTCATTGAACAAGCCATGTATGATTTGTAACTGGTAAATGTAAAGTAATCCTGTTAGCTTGGCAGCCTTTTACTATTATTTTTACAATTTACAGTTACATTAGCAGAGAGTATATCAGAAAAGAGGGATACTGACCTGTCCTTCTGTCTCTTTTCCTCCACCCATCAACTGCTGGACAAAGTTCTCCACTGTCTGTGGCCTCTCCAGAGACAGACAGTGTTTCATGGAGGCTTGTTTCCAGAGCTCTTTCAACAAAAATTGACAACAGATGAAAAATACAATGGAACCTTAGCACAACATTAAATAAAATGTAAATAGATCTCACTGTTTATGAAGGTAAATGATAAATAATCATTGAGAGTAAATCTGTCATGTTTATAACAGAAAACACATTGCTATTTTCTCTAATAAACGTGCTATTAATCATGATATGATTAATGATGAGCTTTGATATGTGCATGCTTTGAATTTCAGGCTTGATTCCCGGTCTCCTGCAGGGGGGGCTCCTCTCTGATAAGTGTGCACAGCAGAAGAGTGTGTGGGTTACCTGTGGGGAGGGCCGTGTCATGCCGAGCTCGCTCTGACATCACCAGAGTCATCTCCCTGCTAATCCTCCTCTGAACTGCTCTGATCATGTCACATTCTGTGCTCTCCAACAGCCTGAGCAGCTGCTCCACATACACAAAAAGGAAAGGACAAAACCATGCTACTCATGATTACTTTGAAAAGCAGTGACAAGTGATTAGAATACCTGAACAAAATGTATGTTAGAAAACATGATTATCAATGGAACGACGACACAACAAGAACAAGGGCGTCTGTACCTGCCATGTCTTGACATCAACCTCAGCAGCTCCTGGAGGGGCTTGGAAAGGCTGGTTGTGTGACAGTAGAGCCTCATACTCCTGCTCCTTCTCCATCTGCTGCGCCAGAGCCCGCATACTGGGGTAATAAATCTCCATTCTGAAAGATTTCATCACGCATTAGTCACATAAATCACCTAACAAATTAAACACACAGGCTTGTATAAATTGTCAGACACTGACAAGAGCCTTTTATCAACCTAATACATACTTTTTATACAACCTTGTTTTCAATCAACTAAAGGGCCCAATATCATGAAAAAAGAACATTTTCTAGCTTTTTTTTAAAAGTGTGTATGTACTATGTATACATTGTTCAGATTGCAAAATGTACTGTTCACTCCTGTTTTTACTACTACCAGGTTGTGTTTGATGTCTAGGGGTGGGCAACATGGCTATAATATAATATCACAATAGCTGCAGACAATTTCTCGACACAAGATGTGCATTACGACATGCGCTGAAACAGGCACAATGCATCAGTAGCGCTGCATTTAAAAACTGCTATTAAAATTTGTGAATACAGTGTTTTGTATTTAGCATTTAGGGTCCTGCACTAAGTCCTATTAAAAAGGGTTTATTATTATATTTTTTCTCGCTTTTCAATGAAACATACAGTTGTCCCAAGTTATTTAGGTACAGCGATACCCACATTATGTTCAGAAAGGTGTATAGTGACATGATTTATTACAGTAACGATAAAAAAACACATCATGTTGCCCACCCCTGGTCACAACTATGAAGACATTTATATGTGACTGCCCACTCCCAGTGAAGTGAGTTTTTGGAACATATCTGGTGAAAACAATTAAATATGCTTTTCCTGACTATCACAAAGCAAACACAGCATCGCAGCTTTCCAAACAATTCAAGATCCAAAAGAAATGGAGGAAGTGGAATGGATGAAGAACAGAGGTCATTCACACACACTATATTGCCAAAAATATTCACTCACCCATCCAAATCATTGAATTCAGGTGTTCCAATCACTTCCATGGCCACAGGTGTATAAAACCAAGCACCTAGGCATGCAGACGGCTTCTACAAACATTTGTGAAAGAATGGAGCTCAGTGAATTCCAGCGTGGTACCGTGATAGGACGCCACCTGTATGCAAAGCGTCGAATGCAGTGGTGTAAAGCGCCACCACTGGACTCTAGAGCAGTGGAGACGTGTTCTCTGGAGTGATGAATCATGCTTCTCCGTCTGGCAATCTGATGGACGAGTCTGGGTTTGGTGGTTGCCAGGAGAACGATACTTGTCTGACTGCATTGTGCCAAGTGTAAAGTTTGGTGGAGGGGGGATTATGGTGTGGGGTTGTTTTTCAGGAGTTGGGCTCGGCCCCTTAGTTCCAGTGAAAGGAACTCTTAATGCTTCAGCAGACCAAGAGATTTTGGGCAATTTCATGCTCCCAACTTTGTGGGAACAGTTAGGGGATGGCCCCTTCCTGTTCCAACATGACTGCGCACCAGTGCACAAAGCAAGGTCCACAAAGACATGGATGAGCGAGTTTGGTGTGGAAGAACTTGACTGGCCTGCACAGAGTCCTGACCTCAACCCTATAGAACACCTTTGGGATGAATTAGAGCGGAGACTGTGAGCCAGGCCTTTTCATCCAACATCAGTGTCTGACCTCACAAATGCGCTTCTGGAAGAATGGTCAGAAATTCCCATAAACACTCCTAAAACTTATGGAAAGCCTTCCCAGAAGAGTTGAAGCTGTTATAGCTGCAAACAGTGGGCCGACATCATATTAAACCCTATGGATTAAGAATGGGACGTCACTCAAATTCATGTGCCTGTGAAGGCAGACGAGCAAATACTTTTGGCAATATAGTGTATATATATTTTACAAATATAGAGGTCATTCAAATATATATATGATGATGTGAAATGTACATACTGTTTAAGTATAACAATGTACCATTCACTCCCAAGTCCATACAGTCCACAAACTGCAAAAACAGCCTGTTCAGTGTTTTTGTGACATCATGGAAATCAACACATTTACATATTCCTGCCTATTCAGCCTACAGCATTTTAGCTTCACCCATTCACACAAAAATCATAAGAGGAGTTTAAGTTAGACTACTTATTGAATGAGGTACATTACTGGGCAGCCAAACAGAATAGAGGTCATTTACATATATCAGTCTTAAAGGGACAATAAGAAAAACAGCCTGGTTAATTCTAAGGGATAAACAGAGGTTGAAAAATGGTTGGTTAACCCTAACCACAAAAACACTGTGAGTGTACCTAAAATAGAAGAATATGGCCCCTTTAATACTTAGAAATGTAACAGTTCTATTAAAACTGAAAAGATCAGGATGTTTTTTCCAAAATATAAAAGTAATAAATGATTCCAAAACCTGTAGAGACGAGAAAACATTTTGAAGGATGAAGCAGAATTCATTTGCTCCACTCCCAGCTGCTGTCGTGTCCAGCTCTCTTTGAAGACTTCCAGTTGCTTCCAGAGCAGTAAGAAGCCTTTCTGCTGGGTGAGGCACTGAATGGGATTGAGGGCTTTAGGCTTAATCTCTTCTTGGTTTTTGCTCACATTTTCTATGTCATCTGTGGAGTCCTGGAGCTTGCAAACAATGGCAAGAATAATTCAGGGCTTTTTTCAGCTTCAGAGAATCTATAGATTCATTTACCATTTACCATTCATTTAGTTGAAAAATAATGAATATAATTATAAATAACTTCAAATATGACTCTGAATTTGAAGTGTTATAATTTACAAGTCTGCAGTACTCACAGTACCTCTCTATCAGTCTCCACGATGATGTCAGTGTCTGTTTGGCCTTGAAGCTGCAGAGGAGCTGCATCTCTTTCACTCCTCAGCATGTCATCAAGGAGAAGAGAAACACCCAGCATCGCTCCATTAGCCTCCATCCTGCTGCGGTCATTCAGAGCAGACAGGCAGAGCTGTGGAGGACCACTACAACATCAGATCTCATTCTCTGTACATTGACAATGGAAGATGGAGGACTAAAAAGTGACTATTTGGCCAGAAATCAATATTGTCTTGTTCAAAATGTTAATTTGTGACAAAAACTGATTAAAAATCTATGACTCATTGGCTTTATTAGATCATGTTTTTTACATATCACATGCAACAACATTAAACAGAAATTATGTTATTAATGGTAAATTTTATGTGGAGTACATAAAATGGCACAAATGGCCACTTTTTTGCATTGGCCTCAAAGGGCTAACAACTTGACATGGTTTGAGGCAAGTGTGATGATTAGGCATGCAGGGTATAAACTTCCATTATTTGTTAGCTATATTAGCCTCATAGCTCCAGTCCAACCTGATTACATAAGGAAATTACATAAGATAAGTTTTGTTTTTCACCAAACTATCGATTTAACAAGACTAGAGGTAATTATGTGTGTAATCTCAGAAACATTACCTGCATGCAGAACTCTACAGGTAGAACATCCCACACGACCAAGGGGTGCAACCCATGACAAGCAAGAAATGATCTCCATGGATAAATCCTTTGACTCTGAAAAACATATGTAGGCTGTTTTTGGACCTTTAAAGAATGCAGTGCCTCCCCAAGATGGTAAACCATGACCGTCTTCAGATGTTATACCTAACAAATAGGTGGTACTTCTATATTTGAAAAATGTAATTGAGCACCTACCTCTGTGCAGAATGGCTGCAGAGGCTGAGGCAGAGGAAGCTGAGAGACATCTCGTTTTAGGCTGTCACTTAAGATGGAAAGAGCATGACTCATGTTGTCACTCACACTCTGATAGGCATCGATGTTTCCAGAGGACAAGAAAGCCTCTCTAAAGGGAAAAGAGGTAGATATTAGATAACTACAAAGAGGTAACTATATTATTTTTTTTCAACAGTGGTACATGAAATCTGACAGGGCTGAACATGTTGTAGTACCAATAGAAAGTATTAGACAGACATATCATTTAGTCAATAAATCAGTTGGTATTTTGGTGGCTTTTGACCCTGTATGTTCTCTAGGTCATCTGCATATCTCCCATGAGCCTTTGCAGCAGCCTTCGTTATGGCCTGTGACTGCCCACCTAGATGTAATTCAGTGTTTGTTGTATATGTAATGTTAGAGCAAACTAGTGAGTTTGAACAACTATGACCACACACTCACCGAATCATGCAGCGCACTGCCATATCAAACCGCAGGAAAAGCACCTCCCTGCGCAACTGGAGCAGTTGCCCTACAACCTCTGGGCTATCAGGATCAGTAAGAGAGTCCATCTGCTGCTGAATGTCCCAGAGTTCAGCTCCTGTACAAGACCACAGAACAGGGGTCAGAAAATATTCTGATAAAGCTGAAACATTTTTCTTAAACAATTTTGTAAACATTTTCTTGCTTGCTGAAAATCTCAGTGAGTAAAGCTGTTATTACTTACTGATACTTTCTGATCCTCCCCAGTCTGCAGTGAGCTTAAGTTCACCACTGCAGCTGAGTGAACTTTTTGGATTCCCCAGGGAAGCAAGGCTCACCAGATAAAACACTATGTCATGAAGAGCTGATACAATTGTCAGGGTGTGCTGAAGAGCCTGGCAACATGCCTACAACACACACACACACACACACACATGTCTGTCTCTCTATTGTCTCAGAGTTCACACACGTACCATTTGTTTTATATATATTGAATTTTCCAAACCTAAATCTGACCCTAAGCTAGTGCTGGGTGATACTGATAAAATTCAGTAAGACAATATTTTCACAATCTATTATGAAATCACACCACCAAATTCATTTTAAGTTTGCATTAATAAAGTCAATGAAGCCATGCTGCCTAAATGCTGTTACTCAAATAAATGCAAAATAAATGCATTGCAACCTGACAGCTTGATTTGATTAGGCTGTTTAGTTCTGTTCTATTTTTCATAAAAATACAAAAAACAGAAACAGAAACAAATGCAACATTAACCAGACAGAAAGCAGTCTAAAAAGCAAACTTATTACTTTTATGGGCTTTGAACTGTTCTTACAAAACAATCTAAAGCACCCTTCCAATTACACACACTTGAGTTAAGTGTCAGAATCTGAATATGATGAACAAAGTGCACAAAGCAGAATTTAAAAACTAAAATCAAACTGCTTGAAAAGAGGAACACCATGATATAAAGAATAAAATGTCAGAGGCATTTCTATAATAAAAAGAAGTTCTGATACATTTCTCACCTTCACTTCCAGTGTCTTGAACATGATGAGCACCTCAGAGTAGTGAGGAATGAACCAGAGGTTCAGTAGACTCTTTCCATCAGCTGATAACAGTTGCCTGGGACGAGGCTGAAACGTCCTGAAAATCCAAATACAATAAAACGCATTTAATCTGACCCATCATTACACTTATTATACATCAGGTACCATAAAGTGTTATGTAACTCCTATGAAACTAATATACATAATATAGTTATGTAGTTATGAGAGTGAGGAACTAAAGTGTGGGCTCCCAGCAGGCCCTTGGAGATTAAGGGGTTAACTGCATCAACTGCGGTGAACTGAACACATCAACTAAAATTCTTACTCTTGACAGAGAAGGCATGCTCTCACCTAGGATCAGGCTGAAAACCCTTCTCACAGTCTACATCTCTCCGGCTCTCATTGGCTTGTCCAACAACAAAGTGAGTCTGGCCAATATCAGGAAGCTTATCCAGCAGTGAGGTTAGACTGTAGCAAAAGGCAATGATCTGACCTCTCAAACAACACTGAGACATCACCAGGCTGAATCTAAAGAGACACAACATGTTTATAGGCCTGGTCTGATCCATAGCTATTGTATACACTAATGAGTTAAACTGCCATAGTTAAATCTGAACCATTTATAATACACTGAACACAGAGATCCAAGCAAACATACTTGTGGCAGAAATCCAAAATCAGTTTTCTCTTGATTTTGGCTACCTCATCCTGTTAACAGAAAAGAACAGACTGGTAAACTCCTACAGATGCCCATCTGTACTTTAGAAAATCATACTGAAGACTCAGCTTTACATACTGGATTTGATATCAGAGTGCTCATCAGCTCCTTCTTCTTTATAAAAGCATTCAGCATTTCATCCCGAGGACTGACCTTCTCTAGCTGAATGGACACAAAGGCATCTGCAAGCCTGAATCAACAGTCATTTTTTGCAGTTATCATGTGGATTATGCTCATTTATAAACATAGCAAGGGGTGGAAAAAGCAGAGAAATTATAATTAAGTGAAAGTTTAAGGGTGCTGTGTCAAAATCTTATTCAATTTAAAACAGAAGCGTACAGCCAAAAATAGAGCACAGTAAAGTCAAAGATTACCCCTTAATCAAAATGGCCATTAAGTACATTTTATTATTATTATTCAGTGTCAGAAAAAAATTACACAGAAATCCTTAGCAACTAAATATAATATCAAATTTGTCAGTATTTAGTGTGTTTACTTTTTGCCTTTATTACAGCTTCCATTTTTTTAAACAGACTTGCTTTCAGTTTTTCAAAAAAATCTGCAGGGATATTTTTTCACACCATCAAAGTTCAGTCTTAGAAAGTGTTTTTTATTATTTTTTTTTTTTTCTCATGATTCAAGCAATCTCACAGTCAACACAGTCAATGATGTTGAGTTTTGAGGGTGGATTATCCACTGAGAACACTGGCAACTTCTTTGTTTGATTTGCAAATTTTCTTCTTTTTTGTTTATTTCGTTCCTTTTTTGTTTATTTAGAGTTGAGTTGTCTTCTCACAGCAGAAGGATGGACAGAAGCACCTGTGGATTTTTTCAGATCTGAAGTAAGAGTGGAGCTTGATTCTCCTCTCTCTCAAAGATGAAAGCTGTTTATCTAATGGTGACATTTTGTGGTCTAACAGGTCTTGCACAGAGTCCAATTTTTCTGTATCTTTTAACCATGTTTTTAACTCCAGTTATGGAAACTTGTTTTTTTTAACTTATTTTTTTACTTTGACTTTCCTCTTCCTTATGCCTGTGGATTATCTTATATCTAGTCTCCTTGGAAATATCTCTTGAAAAATGAATAACTTGTACTTAGTGGCTGCTGCTTGAATGAAGGGTGGTCTCTGACTTCTGCACAGTACTGTACACTCGAGTGGAAGTAAGAAAGTGTCTACACGTAAACATACTTGAGTACATTAAAGTTGAAAGTAAATCCTTTGCTTTGATGGTGTGTGATGCGGTAGTATTAGCCCTCAGACAAGGACAAACCATATATGTTACACTTGACATTTCATGATAAATGGACCAACAGAAATTATCTAAATTTACCTAGAATAAAATAATTTCCACTAATACATTTTCAAATTAAGAATGTTTTTTGTTTCTCCCAGAAAATTACAAATAAGGTTGTGTTACGTCAGCCATGGTATATGACAGAACAGAGAAAATCAAATCAAGCTCATACAGTATGGGTGTATAGTGAGTCTAAAACTGACCTGCCTCGAGTGTGTGAGGTGCCTTTTGCTGCCCTTTGAGTTACACATTCTTGGTCTTGTGGGGATTTGACGGAGTCCTCAGCCCAGTAGCAAACTGAGGCCTGCTTCAGCGCTCCAAGAAGAGCATTCTTTTGCGTAACCTGGCAGGCCAAGACCACTTGCAGATTCTCTAAATTAGACTGGTTCATGAGCTAAAGACAACCATAAAGGATGCATAAGCAAACAGTGCTTATGTACATAAGGTGCAGAGTGTACAGTATATGGGTTTCAAAAATTGTTTTGCAAGTCATTACATTAAGCACAGCTTCTTCAGACCGGAAGCTGAATTTTCCTATCTGGTTCTCATCAAGCTCCTGGATGCCTAGAGGAAGGCTGGATGGGCAATATCTGCGAATCAGATATAACAGAATTACACCATAGGCAGAGAGTGTTCTAAGTTGGAGGTGCTGAAATTTTAAGCAGCTGATACATGGCATGAAAGGTGATGTCATGCAAAATTATTTGCCTTTTGTCTTTTTGATTTTTTGTTGTAATTTACATCAAACAGAATGTGTCATATTGTGCTGTAATGAGGCGAGACACAACAATATATTTATATAACTGACGCATCAGACCACTGATGCACATCCTCTCTCTGTTCACTCATTCTGTACAAACTTTATGCAAATGAACTGAACTATGCGGTGTTGTGAGTGACTGTGTCATGCCCACAGTCTCACGGTGAGATTTAACACCGAAAGAAATAACAGTTGATAAAACGTGACTATGTTTTTTGAGTTTTTCGAAATGATTTAGTCAAAATAATAATAGGCAGCTCAGAACTGGCCTATGTCTCTTTGGGGCGTAACAATTCTGAAATTGGGACTGAAACCGTGGTACAAACATTGACTCATGTCGGTACCCCTCTTTCCCCAATCCACTGCCACCACATTCAGAGACGTTTTATATTTTTTCATTTTTTGTTTACTATACTGGTCTTAAGAGAACTGTTATTTATTTATGTATTTTTGTTTACATAGTTAATGTATGTGAGGTTTAGTTTATCTACCCTGTTCTACCCCCACCCACCCCCCGTCTGAGCTCAGCCCCCTCCCAAAAGAACAAAACAAAAACCCTAGTGGTATTAACCAAACCATGGTTCATAAATCACAGTCTGAACTGAACCGTGGATTTGTAGAATCTCGAAGAGGTCAGCTGTTGTTGCGGGGAACTTTAACAGTGCACTGCTACTGCAGGTTACAATAACAATGCTCAAGCTGTTATAAAGTCTAGAACTTTTTATTATTATTTTTAGCAGCTGCAGCCCTGAAATCTGGAGGTTCTGCAGCACCTTCAGCAGCCCCAGTACCCACATCCCTGACCATGGGTAAACAGCAGAGGATTATTGCTCTATTACTCTTACTGCTCTAAAAGTCTGTAGGAATACAAGCAGTGACGGCATCTCTAATCCTGTTTAGTTACCTGTCAACACAACTGCTGTCCTGGAGGAGCGTCGTGATGAACAGCGGGGGCTGTTTTGGGATCTCTTTTTTTGCTGCAAATTCAAACTGCACTGGCCGCACATATAGATGGAATTCATCAAAACCCATCTCCTGAGTTAGTGATTTGTATAATCTGGAATAGACAAAAATCATACTGAACATGTACAGTGGTGTGAAAAAGTGTTTGCCCCCTTCCTGATTTCTTATTCTTTTGCATGTTTGTCACACTTAAATGTTTCAGATCACCAAACAAATTTAAATAGTAGACAAAGATAACACAAGTAAACACAAAATACAGTTTATAAATTAAGGTCTTTATTATTAAGGGAAAAAGAAATCCAAACCTACAGGGCCCTGTGTGAAAAAGTGATTGCCCCCCTGTGGTTTATCACATCTTTGGAAAGCTGAGTTCAATTTCCCTAGCCACACCCAGGCCTGATTACTGCCACACCTGTTCTCAATCAAGAAATCACTTAAATAGGACCTGCCTGACAAAGTGAAGTAGACCAAAAGATCCTCAAAAGCTAGACATCATGCAGCAATCCAAAGAAATTCAGGAACAAATGAGAAACAAAGTAATGGAGATCTATCAGTCTGGAAAAGGTTATAAAGCCATTTCTAAAGCTTTGGGGACTCCAGCGAACCACAGTGAGAGCCATTATCCACAAATGGCGAAAACATGGAACAGCATGGAACATGGAAGTGGCCGGCCGACCAAAATTACCCTATGAGCGCAGCGACGACTCATCTAAGAGGTCACAAAAGACCCCACAACAACATCCAAAGAACTGCAGGCCTCACTTGCCTCAGTTAAGGTCAGGGTTCATGACTCCACCATAAGAAAGAGACTGGGCAAAAATGGCCTGCATGGCAGAGTTCCACGACGAAAACCACTGCTGAGCAAAAAGAACATAAAGGCTCGTCTCAGTTTTGCCAGAAAACATCTTGATGATCTCCAAGACTTTTGGGAGAATACTCTGTGGACTGACGAGACAAAAGTTGAACTTTTTGGAAGGTGTATGTCCCATTACATCTGGCGTAGAGGTAACACAGCATTTCAGAAAAGTAACATCATACCAACCGTAAAATATGGTGGTGGTAGTGTGATGGTCTGGGGCTGTTTTGCTGCTTCAGGACCTGGAAGACTTGCTGTGGTAAATGGAACCATGAATTCTGCTGTCTACCAAAAAATCCTGAAGAGAATGTCCGGCCATCTGTTCGTGACCTCAAGCTGAAGCGCACTTGAGTTCTGCAGCAGGACAATGATCCAAAACACCAGCAAGTCCACCTCTGAATGGCTTAAGAAAAACAAAATTAAGACTTTGGAGTGGCCTAGTCAAAGTCCTGACCTGAATCCGATTGAGATGCTGTGGCATGACCTTAAAAAGGCGGTTCATGCTCGGAAACCCTCCAATGTGGCTGAATTACAACAGTTCTGCAAAGATGAGTGGGCCAAAATTCCTCCACAGCGCTGTAAAAGACCAGTTATTGCAAATGCTTGATTACAGTTGTTGCTGCTAAGGGTGGCCCAGCCTGTTTTTAGGTTTAGGGGGCAATCACTTTTTCACACAGGGCCCTGTAGGTTTGGATTTCTTTTTCCCTTAACAATAAAGACCTTCATTTATAAACTGCATTTTGTGTTTACTTGTGTTATCTTTGTCTACTATTTAAATTTGTTTGGTGATCTGAAACATTTAAGTGTGACAAACATGCAAAAGAATAAGAAATCAGGAAGGGGGCAAACACTTTTTCACACCACTGTATCTCTAGAGAGAAGAAATTACAAAATTATCAGTATTACAGCACTTTACACAGAATTTATTAGAGATAAATGTACAAAGACCTTGTCCTGTAACAAAATAAATCAGTGCAAATAGCAAATTATTATCTATTAGTTCAGCCTTATCCATATGTAAGTTATAAAAAAGACACATTGTCACTGATACGAAATACCACTCTAATGAAACACTAATAGCTAATTTTGAGTGCTAATATGCCCCCTTGGAGAGGATTTTCAGCCTGCTAAGCATGAGTGATGGCTGACTGAGTTACAAGTCAGGTGCAAAAGGTTCTTTGCATCTGAGAAAAGCAATTTAATGTAAATTGCAGAAAGTTCTGTAGCACAAATGTTCAATCAACTATTCAATCAGTTAATCTTTCAGTAAAGCTTGACTTAACTGTGACAGGTGCTCAGTCTCTGAGGCTGACTCAACAATGCGATGGCGAAGGGTGACCAGCTCCAGAAGTTTGGAGAACGTCTCCACTGCGAATATCTGTCTCTCTCTGCCCTGCTTCCTCTCACGCTCCTCGACTGACCTCAGAACAGAGTAGCCGACCTCTCTGACCATGACTGGATCCTCAATAAATTCCTCTGAAAACAGCTACAGAAACAACAGGCAGTGTACAGATGTGCAATGTAAATTAAACTGGAAACAACTGATTGAATTTATGTTTTTCAGAATCTTAAAGACATTTTGCCTCTAAGGATTGTTATTAAGGATATGGACAACCAGGTTGAAGCCTTTGTATGATTTTTTTGCTACAATGGCAGTTTTGAATTTAAAAGTAGCAGCCAACAAGTGCTGAGCATACTGGGAACATCTTCAAGTTTGCTGGAAAAACATCCTGGTGGCTCTTATTAAGCTGCTTGCAAGAGCAGCTTAATAAGCTTAATAAATTATCTAAAATTACTTATTAGATTTGTTTTAGTCACTGTATAATTCTGTTTGTATTATATCTTAGTTTTGATGCCTTTACTAGGCTTGTCCAATAAGACACATACATCTCTTTGGAGCTGCTGGCTGTAAGAGGCTCCAGGAGTGGCCATGGTGTGCCAGTGAAACAGAGCTTGCTTCAGGATCCTGTGTTCCAGCCTGGCTCTCTGTGAGGCACTCCTGATCCCATGCAGCTCACATAGCTCAGCATGGGCCTGTTCCAGGGTCCTGTACACATCAGAGGCCAGGCATAGAGATGGGTGCAGCTCTAACAGATACACACTCTTCAGGGCAGGGCTGCAGCAACAAACGTGGAAATAAAATAAAAACATTAAAGCCAAGCAATATCAATTGACAGGGCAATGCTGTAATGAAATGCAAAAAAGGGCTTCTATCAACCATTTCTGTTAGCAGTTGGTTAACATAGTGGGTAACACTGCTGCCCCCCACATGGCAAACTAGGCTGTGATTCTTCAAGTAAGCAAGCACACTATGCTATACCAATAAGAGTCCCTGAGCAAGACTCCTAATGTGACATGAATATACATGCAATACATGATTAAAGTCAAGTCACTTCAGATAAGAGCATGTGCCAAAAGCCACACATTAGAGGTGTACATCTCAGACCTTACAAAGATTTAATTAAAATACGATTTTTTCAAAATGATTCAATGTATCATGTAACACTAAAATAACTAATAATACAAAAACACACAAAAAACACACATACTGCCAAGATAAATGGCTTTAAATAATGTGCTTAGGTGCCTAAGACTTTTGCACAGCACTGTATATTAAAAACTGATATAGCTGAATCACCACCTTCTCATCAATGCATCATAGTGCATTGATGCATTTTACACCTCTATATGGCATTCAGTGTGGTTCTTCTATCTTTCTGCATTTATCAGAATGCTTACCTACATCCACCTACTGAGACCAGCTGTTTAGGGACGTAGTTTAAAGGGAAGCCGTATTCAAGAAGACAGCTCGTCCTCTGCTTCCCTCTCCATATCCGCTCAAGGTACTGACGCTGCTTATCAATCTAACGGAAAGGAAATGTGGCTGCAGATTTGTTTTCCTGTGTACTGAATATGCAAACTTCTACTGTTACTATGGCTAATTCCAACAGTACAGAACCCAAAAACCCAATTACCTGAGTATTGAGAATTAATTTAATAAGTTGCTGATGACTTTGCAGGCAGACCACCTCCTGCTTATACGCTTGTACAAAATACTCTGTTTCCAAATCCAGACAAGGCCTTCTGTGCATCACGTCTGTAATCACTTGAGCCAAACTAAACCGCTCCTCTACGTCTATAACATGCTGGTAAGCCTCAAAGTAGCAATTCAAGAGCTGTGAACATGTAAGTACATAAATAAGAGGTGAAAAAGTTGATAGTATTTGCAGTCTATCTTGAAATGCACATTTTTTAACAACAGTACCTCTATTTTGTGCTCCAGGAAAGCAGTCTCACATGTCCAGATGTCCAGCAGAACGGCAACTCGATCCACATCCATTCCAGCCCAGGATTTAAGAGTCTCAGCAGATTTCAATGAACCACTGAAAGTCTCTATCAGTATAACAACACTGATTCATGACAACATAAACATAGCATATAATATATAACAAGCATTAATAATGGCTTAACCTAAGCATAAACAAATAACTAATGTGCTAATGGTGCCTCAACCAAGTGAAAAGATACACAGATCATACATTCTGGAAATTCTGGAAGAGGTATTTTGGTTATAACCTGTGCATGAATTAATCTGAGACAGTGACTACTTCCTGCTCTGACCTCTGCTTCTGCTGATGTAATGGGACGCTATGAGCAGCAGTGTGTTTTCAAGTTCTTTCAGGTCTATCATGGCTGCATCATACACAACATAAAGGCCTCTCTGATCCTGGACATGGATATATTGACCCTCAGTGCTGTAGAAGTCACTAAGATTCTCCACCTCAGGGAACTCCATAAACTCTGTGCAATGGACCTAAAACAATAAACAAATAAAAACATTGTTACTGTTGACGTGCACTATTGTTCAAAATCTGCTCAGGATCGTGTTTTCAATAATATAAAACCAACTGTGTTGCAGACACATAGATAAAATTATTTTAATATTACGCTAATACCCTACAAGTTTCAAACAATGTAAAAACTAAAGATTTTTTGATGATGAATGGAGCTGTAGATGATTCTGAGAAAGCTGTGTAGCACATACAATATACACTATAATAAAATATATATCCAGCATGCCTCAAATTTGAAAAAAATCAAATCATACTGATTAAATACATTGGTATTTAAAAACATTTGCTTTTTTATCATGCTATAACGTCTTGTTGTTGGTAAAATACTTTGAATTATAAATAAACCATCGGTTTAAAAATTTGGTGTCTATTCTAAGACATTTCAATCTACACAGTATTATTGAATAACAATTATTAATAGAATAATTTATGAAAAAATACTGCAAAAAACAGGAAAGCAAAAATCAAAGGAATAGTTTTACAAGTGGGTCATTCTACCATTGCAGTGGTCTGCATGGAGTATCAATGTTGATATGTAATTCAAGCGTAAAACATATTCTGTTATACTGAAATGCATCAGTAAAGTTGTAATTATTTAAATCTGAGATTTTCTAAATTATGGTCCACAGCCACTTTAGTTTTATAGCCACACTGTGTGTCAGAAATGACAAATATCATATTCATGTTATTATTCAGTTTTAAGTTTAAAACCACTTTAAAAGCAATCAGTGTTTTAGCCAAAATTGTCAGAAATAAACAAAGTGTCATTACCTGTAGACTTCTCAAACTTAGTCTTTCTTCCTTAGAGATATCCATACAAGAAGTAAATCGGAAAGACCGTCCTGTTTTATGACTTTATATGTGAATTCAGTGCAGTGAAAAGCTGTTTTTCATGCACAACATGACTAAAAAAATCAAGAAGAAGAATTACCATAGATTTTTATTGGTTAATTCAGGGATATAACAAAGAAGACATATCAACTTTCTATGATTTATTCTTATTTTGAGATAATCTTCATGGCTTCAAATTTGTGGGACACCATTTGCCACCGCAATGCTAGAATGACCCAAGAACAACCAAGTATATGTCACAAGTATATGCAATATGCTACAGATGCAGCAGATAAACAGTGGAGTATTCCTTCAAGAATTCTCTGTGTATTTCCTGTTCTGGTGGGTTTTTAATTTGCATCCAAAACAGACTCATGCAACACTCCATTGCAACTTACAGGAAAACTTCAAAGTTCAGCCACATTACAAGACAGCTAAATTAAGTCTCCTTAGCACCTGCCTGCTCCACCCACAGGGAAACGTGCTGGCTTGTTACCTTGTAGTCAGCAGGAGTGTTGTAGACGTAGTGCTGTGAGCCAGGGCCTCCTGTAGAGCCACTGCATCCTCGAGCCGCATTCATCCAGCCACTCTCCTCTGCACTGCTCACCTGCACACCCCCCACCACCTGCAGCCCTGCAGTATCCACTGTCAGCCTCCTCTCCACAGAGCGCAGGTAGTTCAGCATGCTCAAACAGGTGCGCTACAGCAACAAGAGGGCAGTGTTGCTCAGTGACAAACATTACCTTTTTAGGTGTTCATGGTCCAGAACTTTTAGGTGTTAAAATTACTACTAAATTTTGATCCAAATCAGTAAAAAGTGAATCATTTTTTGAGGTTCACACTCAACCTTCAGCTCCCTGATTCTGAGGTAACGCAGATACAGAAGGGACACGTAGGCTCCTCTGGATGCAACAGGGTCTTTAGAACCATCCTCAAGGTCTTGATCCAACCCAAGCAGCTGAACACTACTACTGTAGCTGTAACTATAGCATAACATTTATGATGAAGGTTTACATTTGGTTTATGGTTACAGTTTATGATTAAAACTAGCTTTATATGATTTGCTGTAACCTGATATGGCACTGCTAATAACAGAAATAATGAGAAACCCCAAAGTATGTATAAAATTCTAAATATTACCTTACTAGATCTTTCTTTTTACCCTTTTTCCGTCTTTCTTGCTCAGATAAATCAGACACTTTGGCACTGGTTTCCTGAAATGTTCAAATCATTTGCATTGAATGGAAAAAGAGAAATTAATCGCAACTGCAACAACCACACGAAACAGTTTGATCTAGAATTTCAACCAGTATCATGCCTGAGAATGCTGTGCGATGTTATAGATGCTTCTCCATATGTTAGAGGCAGCAGAAGCTGCTGTCAGCTTTGAGGTCGCCGTTAAAAGCTCCATGGACTCCGGCTCACAGGCAAATACTGCATGCTGCTTCAGGATTTCAGTTGCTCTGTGGACATCTGACTCCTTAAACAGAAACAAAACAGGGCCCACAGAGCATGACACAGAATTCAAGTACTGAGAAACAACAACAAATGCTTAGAGTTTCCATAAGTTGAAGAACACTCAGAACATCATCTGAAACCCAGTCATTTATTCACCTCACAGGACCTGCAGTGCACCTGAAGAAACTCATCCACACATCTCAGCTCTTTCAGTTTGGACATTTGTTTCTGTTGCCAGGGGTCTCTCTTTGGTTTCACCTGTTTTCAGTCCAAAAAAAAACAAAAAAAACACAAAATAAAAAAAAGGTCACACTCTAACATTTATGCAAAAACTGCCCACTTCCAAAACATGGCTTCACAATAGTTCAAAAGTCAGAATCACAAGATTTAGAAGTACTTGACATTCAAATTGAAGTTTTACAGGGTCAGTGACATACCTGGATATGGGGAATCCAGTTGGATTCCTTTCTGAGAGCCATGTTTGGGCTTCTCCTTCCCCACTTCCTGTCTATAGCCTCAGTGCTATTATACTGCAGAAAGGTATTCATCAAATCTTGACATTTGAAGATGGTCCTGAACTCATGGGTAACCTAGACAAAAGAGAAAAACGAGCATAATGCTAAATAAACCTGCTCCCTATCTAAAGTATGACCAAAAAGTCAGAAACCACTCTTCATTTATTTGATTTCCAGTAAAAACTGCCATTAAGTAAGTACGTATGCCAGTTCTTCATTCTTCAAGAGATATTTCTATGGAGATTTGATAATTCATTTTCATAAGGAAGGCAAACGTCAAAGGAAAGTAAGTGGAAAAAAAAGTTTTCAAAACTGGAGAAATGATTAAAATATATATAAAGAAACACGTGACTCCTAACAACTGCAAGACCTGGTAGACCACCAGTACTGTCACCATCAGATGAACAACACTTAAAGCTTTCATCTTTGAGAGAGAGGAGAAAATCAAGCTCCACTCTTACTTCAGATCTGAAAAAATCCACAGGTGTTTCTGTCCATTCTTCCACTGTGAGAAGACAACTCAACACTATAAATCTGAAAGGATGTGTAGCTGTCAAGAAGCCAGTAAAAGAAACTGACAAAAGAAGAAAACTTGCAAATCAAACAAACACGCTGCTGGTCTTCTCAGAACAATAGACTGACCACTACAGAGTCCATACCAAAACATCTTTAAATGTGATTGGGATTAATTGGCTGGTGAAAAGCAGAAAATGTAACCAACTTCTAAGACTGAACTTTGGCATTGTAGAAAAATATTCCAACAGATTTCTTTTCTAAACTCAAAGTCTCCTGAAAGGAATGGTAGCTATAATAAAAGCAAAGGGTGGACATATTGATTACTAAAAAATGATATTATATTTAGTTGTTGAGGCTTCTATGTCATTTTCTTATAAACATGTGCTTTCTGCTTTTTTACCCTAACATATAAAAATGAATGTCTGTTTTGACTGGAAATGAAGTAAATGAAGCGTGCTCTCTGACTTAGACAGTACTGTATGTAGGCTCCTGTCACGATATGTGTACAACTGTGTTGTTAATAGTCTTCTTGAGCACTACAATGTGGTACTAAGTCTGGAAATACCATGCTGAAGAGTTCCATCTGATCAGCAGAAGTCTTGATGGACTGCACGTTGTACTGGATGTTGTAATGTGAAAGTAGGTGTTGCAGCTGATCTCGGAATTCGTCTAATTTTACAGAATGTCGGGGCACTTTAGATGATGATCCAAACATCCCTGATAAGACAATGAGAGAACATTATTGTGACAAAATAACAGCACTGAGTGCAATTCAAATCAAGCGGTTTGAAGCGGGTTAAATTAGTTCTGCAAAATCTATTTTACACTATTTGCTTTTTAGTTTCGCACTATAGCTAATAAATAATAAAAGCTTAAACCTAATATGTACAAAAGTACATTGTATAGTACTTGACTTAATCAATTAAATTCATTATGAATAAACTATTTATTTAATTATTTAAAATTCTTTCATGTATTCCGTCTTGTTAGACTAATAGACTGACAAACACATTTTAGTCTCAATAAAAAAGACAAACGAGATTAACAAAATGTTCTTAGATAAAACATCGAAGTTTTTATTTTGAAAGAATTATTTGCATGGCAATATATTTCGCTATACATAATTTTGCAGTAATTACTATGTGACAAATATTTAAATACCACAAGAAAATCATATTGTGGCTTAAGTACTGAGACAACACATTATTGTGGGGTCTGTTGCAATTTCTACATTGCCCTGCATGTATTTCTCTGCCAAGAATGGATTTTGGATGACAAAATCTTTTTAAAACTATCATAAAACAATGTCTCAGGCATTGGGCAGCATATTCATAACCATTTCATGTAATAACTTTCTGTGAGGCATTAAACTCTTAAACACTTTAAGAGGCATTTAACTCTTTGGGCATCTGGTTCCTATCACCACTACTGACTGACACACCAAATCAGACTCAGTAATTTTCTCTTGAATGGCACATTTAATACCGAAACACTCTGAAGGACTTTGTTCATACCTTAATGATTTAATAATGTAGAACATTTGAAAAATCTGTGAAGTTCCCCTTTAACTGAACACAGTTAGATAAAAGGGTGATGATATATGCAGTTTGCTTGCTGGTGGGGTATAAACTTCCACTATTTGTTAGCTATATTAGCCTGGTTGCTAAAAGCAAAACTAAAGAAGTAAACTTCAGACAAACCTTGGTTGACTGACTACATTTGGTATAAAGTGAAAATTGTGTAAATTAGATTTTTCAGTGTACTATTCCTTTCTAATTCACCTCATTCTGACATTCCATGTCAACTGTATTTTACCTTATTGTCAGCTTGTGGGTTATTTAATCGCAAGTCTTTTGATTTTAGTCAGACGCTGTGGAGTACTCTCACCCGAAAACTCCCCAGGAGAGCTGAAGTCTGGTGTACTGTTCCTGTCCGCCTCTTTCCTCTCACACAAAGGAAGATAATGAAGCACCTATGTCAAATCAAACCTTTACCATAAACTCTTCGAAAACACTTTTAAACACTTTTAAGCATCACAAACTGGCAGAAATATTATGCATACAGGGTCCATGCATACACTCACATGCAGGAAGTTGTGGATAGTCTTAACTGAATGTAGGTGGCAAATAAGCCACTGCAAATAGATGACCACATCTTCCTGTGTAACCACATTGACAGGGTAGCCAGTGCCCAACAAAGCCTTTTCTCTGGACACAGCAAGCCTACGAGCCCTCTGCAGAGCATCTTCAAATTCAGTTGTCAAATGAATCATGTGCTCCTATACAACGCCAGGTTGGAAGAATTCAATCAGATACAACATATATACAGGTAGGGGCCATACTTTGCATACAGTAAGTTATATCATTTGGATTACCTTATACTGAGGATATAATTGCTCCAGGATGATGGAATGCCGACAGAATCTCCTCCATCTCAACATAAGCTGGTATTTATACTGGGCCAGCTGATATGCTCGGTCTGTGAAGAACTGATACGTATGTGAGCATAAGTGATCCTCTAGAAATTGTTTGGCATTAAAGTAAACCTGAATTGAAAACTTCACTAGGTCATATTAAGCACAATTCATCATATCATTTAAAAGACTAAATTTTTGTTTTACTGTAAAGTGTTGTGATTTTTGACTGCCTCAAAAACATCTTATTATTGCCACCTATAATAAATCAGTTATATCAAGTTTCACCTCCGCCTTCCACCACCCCCACCTATCATTGAGTGAACATCTCAGAGACCCTCTCTGATAGTGTTTCACACAGAAATATGTTACAGCACAGAAAGAAAAAGTTAACGTCATTTCCAATTCCAGTGTTCCAGTGAATGACACCAACTCTGTAGAGAGTGTTTACAATGAAATTTTGAAAAAAATCTATATTTCACTTCATCGTAGGCATCCAGATCACTACTGGAAGGCCAAAGACAAGCACAATTTATTGATATCCTCATACCTGAATTCATCTGAGCAGATACCAGGTTTAACACCCTCTTAAAAGTAAGCAAAGGCTCCCAAACCGTTATTGGTTTAGACCTCCATCCTGCATAGCATCATTAGATTATGCAAAGTTTCTTTAAAAAAAAAAGGTTCTTCACAAGGTTCTTCACAATTGCTCATCTCATTTACAAAAATGATTCTTTAAAGTATTATCGACTGAGATGTTCTTTAGGGAACCAAAAGTGGTTCTTCTATGGCATCACTCCAAACGCTTTTCAACACCTTTAAGAGCATAGGTGTGTTTGAAGAGGGAAATCACTAAATTGCACTCTACTCTGGCCGTCCAGGACCACAACTGGACATAAGTCTACCTGGTGCAGTAATAGTGGTAGGCTCTCAGGTGTGTACTCTTGACCAAGGCAGCTCTTCAGTTCTCTCTGGATGACCTCTGCTTGGGACACTACAGGTTTCACACCTGCAACCTGTAGTTAATACGCTGATTACACATCCCGATTACACTTCCATAAAATATTACTCCTCAAAAATATCTATCGTGAAAGAATGTGAAAATGGTAAACATAAAAATACATAATTGTATGACATCTTAAAGGGGAATCCCACCAACTTTTCAAAATGTCTCATAATTCAATGACGAGATGTAAACAAAGTCATTTAGAGTGGTTTGATGTGAAATAATTTATCATGAAGAGACATTCACAAACAAGGATTTCTTTACAGTGGTGGTGAACTGTCCAGGGGTTACGATGTCTATGATCCAAATACAGCCATTTTATTTACTTTTCAAAGATGACCAATGAACCTCCACACATTCTCTGAGTGTTTATATGTAATGCTGATCATGGTAAAATGTGCTAAATCGGAAAAAATTAAGTTTTCTTTGGAGATTTACCTTCCACCTTGCATGTATCCATGAATGTTTTTTTTTAAATACGTTTCAAGCCAAAACCTTATGTTAAAAATATTGCAAAACAACATCTCAAACATCAGGCAACATATTCATAACCATTTCGCATAACAACTTTCTGTGATGTAGTTTCTATTGCCAAGTAAACACTTCAGATATCTGGTTCCTATCACCACCACTGTGAACAATTCTGACATGGTAAGTTTCTCTATAATGGAGCATTAAACATCAAATCACTCTTTGAATCTTAGCCATGTAATTTTGTAGAAATGAATCAGTGCAATCTGATGGAAATCGTTAAAATAAGCCTCACCTGGAGTCCTCTGTGGAGAACTTGCTGTCTTTCCATGAGAAAATAAGACACATCCTTTGGAATATGAACAGAGCTGTAGAAGTAACATTGTAAACATCAGATTAAACTAAATGATATCATTGTCCAGTAGTTTTGGGAATAGCTTTGGCTGTTCTCACCTGTGAGACTTTGTGGATATTCCGTGCACAGTTTCTTTTTTCTCAATCTCACTCTTCAGAGCCTGGAGCTGGGAAGACAGTTCTGCCTCAAGCTGCTCCACCTTCACTGAGGAAGAGACTTTGTATGTTCTGGCTTTGACCATGTCTGAGAGAATTCAGATTTCTATAAGTCTGTACTGTTTGTTTATTCAGTCTTAGTAGTCTTTCTTCTTCTTTTACTTCAGACGTGTAATGTCGTCAAAATGCCTACAGCCTCTCTGTGGTTGACTACTGTTCTTTGTCCAGTCAGTGAGAAGGCGCAGTGTTGTCCTATCGTGGCCATGGAGACTAGACAATGTGCCATAGTAGAGGCTACATGCAACCCAGAGCAACTCAATGGCCAACACAAATAACACACATGGGCCTACTACCCATTAAAGGGGAATTCCACCAATTTTTCAAAATTTCGATATAGTGGTTGAGATGTAAACAGAGTCATTTAGAGTGACTCGATATGAAAGTCGTCGTTCTAGAGACACTTAATGCCTCTAAAAGCTACCTCACAGCAGGGACACTGGAAGTGGGGGTGCTGAGGGGCTGCAGCTCCCCCTGATTTCAGGACTGCAATCTTAAAAAAATAATAATTATAAAACATTCTGGACTTTATAGTAATTGGAGCATACTAAATACCCATGTGTGCTTGTTTAAGAGTGGAGTTTGTATTTTTATATTCTAAAAATCTGCAGAAGTCCTCCACTGTTTAAGTAACCACTGCATCTTCAGTACAGCGAGCAGAGAGAGAAAGCCTAAGCAGAGTTCTAGGCCAGAGTTCCAAAGCGGCTTAATACTGCTTTTAAAGTATTGCTTTTATTTTAAAAAATATCTAAGGCAACTTAGCCACAAAGACTTACTTTTTTATCATAACCATTATCAACATTTCATATAAAAACTCAGAAAGCACGTGCAGTTTTATTGGTGGTTTTCGGTTGTAAATAATAGGGCTATACTTTTGTGACAGACTTCGCGACGCCGGTTCATCACCACTAAAGAGATCCAAGTTAAAGGGGAACTCCACCTGCGGTTCAAAATTTCTGCACAATTAAATGGTTGAGACGTAAACAAAGTCGTTATAAGTGGTTTGATGTGAAATGCTCCGTTTTAGAAAAAAAATGCCGATTCGTAATTATTCATAGTGGTAGTTATAGGAACCAGACATCTGAAGAGTTTATTGTCTCTGAAAGCTCCCTCACCGAAAGTTATTACATGAAATGGTTATAGACGCCGCCTGATGTCTGACACATGGTTTAATGATAGTTTTGTGGTAAGTTTTATTTTTAATCAATTCATAGCAGAAGATGAGTTGTAAGGCAAAACAGTCCCTGAAGAAAACTTATGTTTTTTTTTTTTTTTTCAGATTTATGACTATTTTATCATATAAAAATCTCAGAAGGCACGTGTAGGTTCACCAGTGGTTCTGGATAGTAAATAAAATGGTTATATTTGCGTTAAAGACATCGTGACCCCTGGTTCCTATCACCGCTGTAAAGAAATCAGAGTCTATAAGTTTCTCTACAATGAACCATTTCACATCATACCAATCTGAATGACTCTATTTACATTTCAAAGACTGAATTTTTGAAAAATTGGTGGAATTTCCCTTTGGTTGTCTTGTTTGTCTACAATGAACCATATCCAGCTTCTCATAATGGCGGTTTACATCTCAGCGATTGAATTTTGCAAAAACGTTCGAAAAATAGGTGTTAATTACCCTTTAAAATGCACATTATCATTGTAACTGCACTGATTTGCACTTGGACATAGAGCTGTATAGTTACATCGCATATAAAACAACGTCCTCGGCGAATTCCTGCCTGCTCGCACTCATAGCTGTTTCTTCGCGTTGCTGTTCACTTTTGTACCTGCAGGGGGCGATGGACGACCACTGATATCAATTCCGTCCCCATCACAGATTAAATAAGAGATTTAAGAGGAGGCTGTAGATGTCCTCTCCTCCTCTTCATCCTCCAGAACAGAGCGGACCTTTTCGAGGTCACGCATATAGGTCTATAGGCTAGCACAGAGATGGACAGGCTAACTTAAAGAGCTAACGTTTAAAGGCAATACAGATTCACCCTGTATTAAAGCTGAGTGGAGAAAAAAACATTTGATACAGGTAAGTGTGTTTTCCATTCTGGACGACAGAAGACGGTAAGGCTCTTTCTGCCCAACAGTTAAAGCAAAACGCACACAGTAAATCCCATTTCTTAATTAATTCATTGCATATTAAATAAATCAGGCTATTTAAGGATATACAACCGAGTGAGGTTGAAATCTAGGTCAGTAGGCTATGTGTTATTCCCTTTTTGCGCTGCAGATGTATAACGAACATGTACATTATGTTAATATAGGGAATGCAATAGCCACGAATTTTGTTTACATTTGCTATTCTAACATTTTGTAATTCTCAATAAATTTCACATACTTTCCTCCTTTCTCTTCATCATTGTAAATGTAATGCCGTTTGGTTTTTCTGATCAGATCAATACTAAGGAAAAAAAGCTGAAATATATAAAATCTTGGGGCTTTGTAATGGGCTATAATGGTATAGTGCTTTAAAATCAAATTCATCACATTCGTCTTACTTTCCCCCCCAGTATGGTTTTAAATAGCTCAACATCCCCATTTCACTTGGATACAGCACAACTGATTGGTTCTGAGCAAAGGTAGCCTATATCCAATGAGAGATCATCACCAAGGTGCCCACCAATGACTGCACAAGGACATATGGCACACTTTACATCTATTGTCACCGGGGGTGGGAATACTCCTCATCATTTTCTTCCCTACAGGACACTTCAGAGCCACACATGCGTTGTAGGACGCTGTGAATGAATTTCCGTTCAAATACACCGGTGTGAATGAATGCTGTGTTTGCGTCAAATGTACATTAACGTTCCCCTACGTTTATTTCCAAATAAACCCAGTAATGTGTCATTTAATAGCATGCCCTTTGCAGCGATGCTGTATCTCTCTGCAGTCTCTGCAGGCAGATCTGACATTTATTAAGCCTCTAAAGCTAGCACAGCCGCTCCTCAGTGGATGCTGCTAATAGGAAATAACGATGTGCACTACATGGGTTCTTGAATAACCACAACTGCTTTAATCACAGAAGAAAGATCAAAGTGTCGAAACAGAGCAGATCACATACAGGCTGATGGCCAGAGCAACAGGACAACACACTGGAAGACACACAAAGACATGATTAGGTAGAGATAGGGTGAAAAGCTGTGTACTGAATTACAAGGCAGTATTCACTACACCTCAGAGCTGGTAAACAGTGGTCCAATAAAAACCATAATAACAAAGGAAGTAAAAATGATAAGGTCTGTAAATTTGTGTGGAAATTTCAGCCAGTGTTCATTCACCCTTCTTTGGGCTGGGGTTCAATATGCTATAATTAAGATGTAATCCTAGGGTCACTTAAAATGCCAAAGCCAGCAGAAAACTTGGGCCCATGAACATTTTCATCGGAGGCGGCCTAAAGAGCACAGGCAGAGGTTTTAATTAAGCATGCTAGGGTTTGCTTCTTCATTATCTATAGATGGGCTTACCCAGCAAGACCAGATAGATAACATTATGTAGATGTTTTCAAGCCAAAGCCTTCATCATGGTTAAAAAGCTTTAATGAGCTGATTAAGCACCTTCTGTATTGGCTGACTGTTCTAATACACACCTTCACATTTCCACAGAATAACAACAGCTGGAACACAGCAAAACCTCCAACAGACCACCCAACTCCTCAGATGCGCCTACACATGATAAGACTAATAAATGGCATCTACCTTGTTAATACACATTTTTTGCAACACACATATCTAGTAAATGTGTAAGTACAATTGTGGCGGTGTACACAAGATAAATGTTCAAATATTTCATTTCATATTCTTACCAGGGCTCTCAAACTGCACTGTAGAGCATTTTCCTTGATTCAAGTCATTAGGTAATTCTATAGCCTTTTATGAATTGAATCAGGTACATCAGAGCGTGGTAAATGCCAGCCTGTGCAGAGCTATGCACCTCCAGGAGAACCCCAGCTTGTTTTAATACTCCACAGTTACCGAAAGACAAAAAGGACCCAAGATAATCATAGTGCTGTACAAAGCTTTATTTACATGCACCATACCTTCTTGTACTACCTAACTTATTCAAAATGGAAATGCACAGGGATATTTCACACACCCAAGTGTAACTATCTGTAAATTGGTTCAATACAGCGAGGCATATAGAGTATGTGATATGTAAAAAAATTAAAAATTCACTTTTCTAATTTGCATTTGTCTGAATTTCCTCTTGATGCATTAACAACATAAAATGAAATCAGGACACATCTTCCAAAGGGCCGTGAATGAAAATCTTCAACTTATCCCAAGTTCTTGTGAATTACAATACTCTGTATGGTTGTAAAAGCACAGTGGAATTATGTAAACAATGAACGCCACTCTAACTCAATACAAGTCATGAAAAGACTGAACATCAGTGCGTGAGATGTTACATGTTGGAGTTTTGGGTGTGAAACTGAACTCAACAAATATACATTCAACCATAATAAAATAACGACTGCAAATCTGCCATGTTAACAAGTGATAGGGGTCCCTGAATGGCACTATTACTGAACAAACAAACAGTAGCCTCACTGTTGGTGAACTAAATCGTTGCTTTGCATGTTCAACAACAATCGAGTAGGTAAAATACAGTCCGTGTAAGCATCCTAACTTGTCTACAATACTAAAATGGGTCTGCGTAGTGAAAATTCTTGCTGCATATTGCCATTAGAGCAGAAACGATGCTCTTTTCTCAAAGCACCACCCAGTGTGCAGATATGTACAAATAAAAGGCTAAAATGTGCCTTTGCAGCCTCATAAGCTTATAAATGGTGGTTTTCAGCTATACACAGTTGTGTAGTGGCCTTTAAATCAGTGTTCTGAAATCCTTATCTGTATTTGTACAATTTCTAACCTGGAATAAATATGCTAAACATACACAACATACACTTCACAAAAACTACTTTAAAATGATCAGTCATTCAGGTGAGGTCAGAATGGAGGTGATGGAAAAAATGGACAGGATCAAGTACTTCGAGCTGAACAAAACGCACCTTTTTGAGTGTTTAAAAGAACGTTAATGCGGTGCACCAGAGAAAGAACAGAGTGTTTTATACATCACATTGATATACCTCATCAACTGGTCTTATTTCACTCTTCTTTGAAAGGAGTCAAGGATACATCACGCACACAATACCGTTCTTCCCTTTTTCTAGTTTACAAATTACTATGAAGGCTCAACAAAAACAATAATTGAAGACAACGACAGTAACATTCTCGGGAGTTACGCTGTAAACAGGCCATCAATCTACAAAATGATGACCGGTTTGGCAGAAGACAAGTGTTTCCGTCAACGTTTCTGTCAATGTCAATGACGAGAAATGTGAATATCTCCTAAACTATGGTTACAAATAATCATCTAAACCTAACCATTGTTCTTCTTTATTCTTCTCTAGGCCTGTTTTTTCTGAATAAGGAAAGAAGGGAGGCTTCTAATGTCTTTATTAAAATCTTCAGAGAACTTTCCAGCTGCACCACAGTCCTTCTTCAGATGGGTCCCTGTAAACCTTGCCCTTGATGACAAAGTCACAATGCAAGCACTTCTAGACTTCAATTGTATTCAAGCCTAGATCATGACGATTCACAACATATGGCCACAAATCCATCACAACAGCAACTGTATAAGTAAGTAAAACTCATTCCAGTAGTTTTCAAATAGCATTTCTACAGCTTACTGTACACGTCCCTTGCACAGGACAGTGTTTGAAAGGACAGGACAGTGTTTAAAGCTTTGTTCTGCCCTGTAACTACATTCCAGGTGCTCAGCTGGTCAGCCTGGTACCCAGCTTTGGGAAGAGGTTTGTTTGGTACTCGAGAGACTCCCTGAATTCAGGTTCGCATTCTGACTGGAAATGAGATGAGAATCAAAGCTGAACTCCAAGCCTTCGGCATCCATCAGGTCATTCCGGATGACGGTGTCCATGTCACAATCTAGGCTACTGCTGAAAGCTTCGAGATCCAGGTCAGTGGAGAATCGGTCCTGAGATGCGGACTGAATGCAGGGCACAATACCATTGAGACCTGACAACAAGGAATCAGAAGAGCTGAGCTGCATAGATGTGCTCCTGGAGGGAGACTGTTGGAGATGCTGTTTGATCAAGCTTTGGTAGTCTGACTCACTTGTTGACCCCAAGACTCCGTTCACTCGCCATCCAGACAGCGAGGACTTCTTGAGCCCAGCTTGCCCTCCAGGCCCAGCTTGTAGGGCACTGCGACGGGAGCTCTGAGAGGAGATGGAGGCACTGGCTTGTGACATCAACGGGTCAGATTGGGTGAGAAGGACATCACTGTGGCTATGTGGCTCAGTGCTGAGCAGATCCTGGAGGCTCTGCTTACTGAAGTGAAAAGTGGCCTGCTTGTTCTCCTGGATGGTTTGCATGGGCGACTGGCGAAGGCCCGAGACGGAGGACGTGCTGAACATGGAGTTTGGACCATAGCTGCCAGAGGGAACCCCAAGACTGCTGCCAGAGCAGCTGAAGGTAAACACGGGGCTTCCTTGTAGGCTGGCTCCATTGTCATCTTGGCCTGGAGACTGCGAAGCCGTTAGACTGATGTTGTCAAGAAGGTCATCCATTAGGTTGTCAGGGAGGCCATCGTTAAGATTCATGGTACCTGCAAGATCAGCTAGTCGGGGAAGCTCCGTCAGACCAGTGGAAGGAGACATGCTGCTTGGACTGGAGTATAACATGGGAGAGAGGGGCGAGTCATCATCAGGAACCTCGTCCACCTCCAGGTTGGCCAGGATTGGAGACAGTCGGCCACTTATGGTGCTGGCATTGGAGTTAGTACGGGAGCGGAAGTCTGTCCAGGTGTCGAACTCGTCACTGCTGCGCGACGTGGGACTCCCAGTCCATTTGGAGAGGCTGGAGGAACTCTCCGAACTCCCATCCTGAGCAGCCTGAAGAGCAGCTTTCTTCTTTGCGGCACGGCCACGGGCGCTCTTGATGAGCTTGTTGCTATTGTCCATGGAAACAGCGCGTCTGCGTGGGACTTTGCCACCCTTCCCGCCATCTGGGTTGACCATCCACCATGAGCTCTTCCCTGTGCCTTCATTTTGGACCCTGACAAATCGACTGTGGAGTGACAAGTTATGTCGGATGGAGTTCTGTAAAAACAGGAGAGGACAGCTTTTGAACCTCTAACTGAAATTAATATGAGAATATGGCAGTTAATAAATGAACTACAATAAATAACAAGCTGGAAAGTGTTTACAGCATCTTAAACATACTGCTTGCCTATGTAGTAACTGGACCAAGATGACAGAAAACTGTGTGCCATACATAAATGGCAGGAAACAGATCAGTTTTAAGATATATAATACTTGAGCTGCTGTATTCAAATATCTTGAAACCACTGTATGAGTTTTTTTTTTTGGCAAAACAGATCTATTTTTCATTCATATGTTTCATATTTGTAGGAGTTTTTTTGATTGTCAGGAAATAAAAAGGTTGCTTAAATTAATGTCAGCTAAAAAAATCTCTCAGCAGCATCAACATCAGGATATAATTTATCATACTGCAACAATGTTGTTAATTTACAGTGATATCATATCACAACTATTCTATAAGATAATGATGTTTTATTGTACGTAAAAGGTGCCAGACTCATTCTTGACAATGTAGATTCAGACAAGACTAAAATCACTGAGCATTGCTGGTAAAAATTACACCCCCTCCAGCTCCCCAAGTAAATCTAATCCCATCTGAATAATGCGTAACAGTAAGCTGCACAACACAGTTCTGTGCAGTACTTTAGGCATGACTGAAGATGATGAACATACACACGAGTCTTTCTCTCTCTCCCTCCCTCCCTCGCTCTCTCTCCCTCTCTCTCTCTCTCCCTCCCCCTCCCATTACATCTCCCCACAGGGGTGTGCAATATGACAATATTTTATTGCATCATGATAAATTACATCACAATAAGCTTTTATGAGCATACTGTGGATATCATTATAAACTTATAGAACTTGAACCAACTGCATGTCTCATTACAAAGAGATCATTTACTGGTTCTGTTTAATTGGTTTTACTGTAGCTCAGTATGTAAAACATTGAATATAAATGTTTTTATAGTTTATGTCACAATACTGGTGCATTCTGTCTCTTCTAACTTATCAAACCTCAGAAACACAGAAAATAATGATGCATATCAGCATGCCATGTCATCAAATACTTCAAATTCACTGCTGAAGAGTAAAGTTCTGTGTTGTGATTGTTTCTGGCATGACCTTGCCCAGGCTTCTAAAAGCGTGAATGGACTGGCATGGTGACACTTAACTTCCACTAAAGCCTTTGCTTCAAGCCTATTACTGGATTTAATCCACAGGGAACTTTCTGCTCTCAGAGGAGAACACACCTCACATGTCATTCTTAACATGCATGAGCAGTTTTCCTTTTTTACTTAGCTAAGCAAGCCAATATTGAATGGATTTAACAACTAATCTGATTCCCATCGACTGGTTTGTTAAGTGGCTGAACTGTAGTAGATCATGAACATTGCCTAAACAAATATTGTGGTCATACATACACTGTTAGAAAAAAGTGCACATACATTTTTCAGCGCAGATACAGGTACAGTGCAGGTACATTTGTCATTCATCAAGGTACAAACGATGTAAACGTACCCCAAAGGTACATCAGTGTTTTAAGGTCCAATTGTATACCTTAAATAAGATTTTCCCAGGTGAAAAGTACATATTTGTACCTTTTTATTACCTAAAGTTTTAAAACATAACAATAAAATAAAAAGCCTGGAGACGAGACGGGGTGTGTGGAGTTAGTACAACCTAGAAAATGAGAATGTAAGAAAAATATAAATTCTGCAAAACCAGCATTTTGATCTAACTCTAGCTTTTAGCTTGCTGTCCTCCTCATTCGATGAGGTACTTCTGTTCTTTGGGTAATCCATTCTGTCCTTTGTAGTGATGATTTGAAGACGGTTACTAGAAGTATACGGCCTCAATATGTAACCCACCGCCAAAAATCAGCCCCAAAGCAGGTGTTTTCAAAAGTTCCCATCTTCAAGATACATCATAAGGAGGTTTTTCCTAGACTTTAAACCAGAAAAACCCACTCTTCAGACTACTGCAGTACTGCTGTAGGATGCACGTAAGCATGTTTTATGGATGCAGGTACAGATGTACGGATGGTTAAAGTTTTCATTTTGGCCAAAGTGTCTCTGCAGTATATCACTTCAGAGAGGTTCAGAGTTATGACAGCAGCAATATGCTACAGCTGTTAGCATCTGGATAAGAGCATCACAGCCAAAGCAATCTACCTTTTCTCATCAGTTAGTCATTTTATATATTATATATACACACACACACACACACACACTATGATTCAGTGGCAACAAACAGCTACCATCACACATTATCTGTGTAAAACTGAAAGAAACGGATCTCTGCATAGTTGTAGACCAGAACTAACTGCTAGTCTCTTAAGCCGTCATTGTTTTGTATAAACTCACTGTTTGTAAAGAAATTAATCTAAATATCTCACCTCTTAGCTCGGGATGGAGCAACAAGTTGCTCTGTGTTATCAAAGCATCTAACAGAAATCACCTTCAAGAACAATGGTGATGCAGCTGTAAATAAAATGGCTACAATAAATAAATAAATAACACTGTAACCATCATCATGTTGTCTCTGGATGTGCTAAAGTAAATAGATGTCAAATTGGCGTTGGCTAATTCTTAATAAGTATTTCCAAAATGGCAGCTTTCCAGGAGAAGGCAATAATGTTCTTTATTTTTGATACAAGTTAATGTAGAGATTTGTTCTCAATTTTGGAGCATTTCTACTGGTCCATTCATCTTGAATCACTTTACTCAAACTCTTCACTCTTTCTATTCAGTATTTGTATATATCTCAAATATAGTATATACATCTACATTTACTTCCCTTTATCTAAAAGCCTTCATCATAGCAACCAAATGATCAAAGTGTGCACAGATGTGTATGTCTATGAATATATCAGACAGTTGAATCTAATAACGCTAGAAAATTAATTGAAATTTAAACCCACCAACAAAGTCAAAATACAGTTACTGCCTTTCCCTTTGAGCTTGATGGTAAAGATTTTAGGAACCCACTTCAGAGACTGCACACCTACATGATGCCATATACATTTCTTCTCATAGGATTTTCTGTTTTATGGTTTATGCGCCTAGCCCATGTAAAAGTATAGCTTAGTCCTGTGAGCATGATGTTAGGTCCAGTTATGATCAGCACTAGTGGACAAATATGGGCCACATTAAAGCTACAGGACAAAACAGTGAAGATCTGAAAAAATTCCCCAGAGTGAATGCAGCATGTTGTAACTCACACGGCAACAAAGGAGGCTGTGAAATATTAATTAGACAGCTCAGATATTTTTTATCATACTTGATCAGATCTGTGTCTTTAGACAGGGTATTTTATCAACCCAGTGCTTTATGAAAGAGCATAAATTTGAAGCATAGCATAACATACCAGGTTGTGCATAACTGTTTTAATTGTTTAGTCATCAAATAGAAAATGCAGATAACCATCTCATGTGGCAAAGAATGAAAGTGTCATCTACAGTCTGATTATTTAAATCGTCTTTCCTTATTAAATAAGCAAATTCAAAGCATTTGGCCTATGATTGACAATTCAGGTTTTCAACTGTCTCATCGTTAAAAGGCTACAGAAAAGATATTCGAAGGTCAGAGCTCAGCACAACATTTAGATTCACATTTCTTCGTTAGCTGACTGGATTCATCAGTTCCTAAACACTGCAGACATAAAAGGAACTGGTGAAATTCCTGTTGAAAATTTTGTCTTCCTTTTCTTTCTATTCATAAAAGACTACTAGCTATAAATAAAATGGCTCTAATAATGGGCTGCAATCTCTAGTGCTTCCCTCCCCCATCCTCCCGAAGCCATGCTGCTGTCCCTTTTCAGCAAAGCACCACTCAGAAGAGGACTGGAGCGCCGCCAGTTTACACAAAGCTCGATCTCAGAGTCAAACACCAAGCTCCTCACATTTTGCTACACATTGACCTACATAGTTTCCAGTCAGCTGATTGATTCCTATGCTGAAGTCACCAGCCAATAGGAAATGGAGGTGGGGCTGGAACAGCCAATCACATTGCCTGCACCAACAAAATCCTCCTGGCTTTTCTTTGCTTTCCCTCCCCCTCCCTCAGATGCAGGGAGATGCAAAAGCTCTGTGGCACATGCAGATGATAAAATACCAACTCAACTCTAGGGCATATTTCACTACAGTGCCTAATTATTTTACAACACTGAGACACAAATCAAATTGAGAATTTCTTCATATATATGTCTCATTAACTGCTGATTAAATTCATTCCAGAATGATGATGCTTCCTGACAAACAGATAACATAATGGGGAAATGAGCAGCTGTAAATCAATGATCACATTTATTGGCCCTCTCCTATTTTGAAACAAATACCATACACTGTTTAGACATAACATTAAACCCACCTACTAATTCTACACTCATTGTCCATTTTATACCACAAACAGTATGGGACATTTTGTTGCCTACAATTACAGACTGCAGTCCATCTGTTTCTCTACATACTTTGTTAGCCCCCTTTTACCCTGTTCTTCAATGGTCAGGACCCTCACAGGACCACCACAGAGCAGGTATTATTTGGGTGGAGGATCATTCTCAGCACTGCAGTGACACTGATGTGGTGGTGGTGTGTTAGTGTATGTTGCGCTGGTTCAAGTGCAACAGATACAGCAGTGCTGCTGGAGTTTTTTTAACACTGTGTCCACTCACTGTCCACTCCTACATTTTTTGTCCACCTTGTAGATGTACAGTCAGAGATAACAGTTCATCCTAGTCCTTCATCAGTGGTCACAGGACGCTGCCCACAGGACGCTGCCCACAGGACGCTTTTGGCTGGACATTTGTGGTTGGAGGACTATTCTCAGTCCAGCAGTGACACTGAGGTGTTTAAAAACTCCAGCAGCACTGCTGTGTCTGATCCACTCATACCAGTGAAACAGAGACCAACACCAAATAATACCTGCTTTGTGGTGGTCCTGTGGGGGTCTTTACCACTGTAGAACAGGGTGAAAGGGGGCTAACAAAGTATGCAGAGAAACAGATGTAATACAGTCTGTAATTGCAGAGCTACAAAGTGCACCTATATGGTAAGTGGAGCTGATAAAATGGACAGGGAGTGTAGATACAAAGAGGTGGTTTTAATGTTTTGGCTGATGGTGTGATCTTAATAGCATTTCATCTACTGTAATACATGATTTCCCCTCTTGTCTGCTCTCAAATCTGCAGGATTGTAAACAGATTTCCAGAGGTTTGCCTCTAATTCAAATCCAAGTATTCATTAGACTTGAATCCATGCTGGATAAATTGCTTTTCCCGGCCAAGCTAATCCCTGAAATCAAACGAGAGGACCAAGTACAGTCAAAGCTCTTTGAACAACAAACATCATGTGCATAACAAGAAAAAAGGACACCCCCCAAAGTTCTAGTTACATACAACTGTCTAATATACAGTAGCATGCATGGACATCTGCATTCAAACAGGAGACTGGTCTGATGTAGTGACATGGTTTCATCTCCTATGTTTTGTGCTCTGCAGTTCTACTGATTTGATCATATTACAGTACCTACAATGGTGAGTTTTTTCGTTCATAACTGCATGAGGCCATCTCAGGGATAGGTAAGTTTAAACTGCAGCTGAGTCCTGCTGTTTAGGCATGTTGGTTTTTGTTTGTTTGTTTGTTTTTTAAAATCATGCAGATCGTAGCTCTTTATCTTGACAACAGCCCACATTGCTGGTGAGGCTGTTCTCTTTCGCAAAGCTACATTTCTGCTGTTTGTGCCTATAAGCATAGCCCCCCCCATATGTTAGTGTGAGATATAAGTAATACTTGTCTGAACAAATGAAATAGGGGGTTATCATTTGCAACCTTGCTCTATTTATCTGGTGTTACTAAAACGCCCTATGGCGTATCCCTGACATCACCCAGTTAATCAGCAAGCCCCACAACCCCATAAGTAATTCATTTTCCTGGCACTGTATCATTACACTTTCCGCATAGTAGGAAAAATAATAGTACAAAATAGTATGCATTCCATTAATGGAATAAGAACACAGTAATATAGTAAAATATGTATTAATAATAGTAGTAATAGTACTAGTAGTAGTAGTAGTAGTAGTAGTAATAATAATAATAATAATAATAATAATATTAACAACAACAACAACAACAACAATAATATCAAAATCAAATGCTCTAGAGGTCTAATGTGCAGTGGACCTACCTTCCAACCCGCAGAGCTGTTGCTGTCACCTTTGTCCTTGAAGTATGGCACAGATCTGACCATCCAGTCATATATCTGGGCCAATGTCAGTCTTTTCTCAGGCGAGCTCTCGATGGCTTGAGTGATGAGATCTGCATAAGAGTAGTTGCCCCATGCGTTTCTGCGGGCGGATGATTTTCTGGGCTGCTGAGGCCCAAGACTGCTCAGGCTGGAGTCGCTGCCTGCAGGGGCCAGTGGCTGGGCACTAACTGGAGAGCCAAAAGTGCCTCTGTCAGAGGAAGCAGCAGCAGAGGCAGAAGCAGCGTTATTAGCTTGTGGTGCAGGAGCAGCAGCGCTGCTGGCTTTCTGCTCGCCCTGCGGGTAGCTCGGTATCTCCACTGCATGTGTGCTGCTGTCGCCGCCGCTGCTGCTGACCACACGGCAGTCCGGAGCACCTTCATCATCCTCTTCCTCGGGGATAATGTCCGCCTCGCTCGGCTCTGCTTTGCCCGCGCTGGACTCGGGTCGAGGCAGCGGCCAGGTGCAAGAGCGCGGCCTCTTCTGGGGCTCGAAGTCCGGGTCTATGTCCACGTCCACGGCTCCGGGCTTCTCCTCTGCCATGTTTCCTCCAGTTTCTCCGGGGGCTTTGTGTGCTGGGCTTTGAGACGAAACGGTTCACGCAGCAGCTGCAGGGTCGCCTCGCATTCCATTAATGGACGGATTCCTCAGTGAGCGTTTCTGACCCAGCTTAACTTTACTTTGTTCATTCGACTCTTGGGCCAATTAAAACGCGCACACTCAGTAATGTTGACTGCTCCTCGCAGATTTACATGCAAACTTGCGCGAAAAGTACTGGACGTGATTTTTTGCTCTCCTGCTGCTCTCCACGTGTACTACTGCTGCTGCTGAGCGCTGTTAGCTGGCACTGGGTTTCATTCTGGGAGCGACTCGCATTAAAGCAAGCTAACTAAATGCAAAATAGCCAGGAGCACCGAGAATCGACGACTGATCTTGAACAGGCGAGGCTAGTTGATATGGTCAACGATCACCTCCTGCTCTAGCTGCTGCTGCTGCTGCTGAGGCACTGCAAAAGCAACAGCGCACAGGCGCTACATACATTCACCCACCAACTCCAGACCGCTGGTAACATTATCTCCAAATGCAGCTGCCATCTTGATAAGCGTTTTCAAGTCTTTCTCGCTACTCGCTGCTACGACCCAGGCGGAGTGAAGAGAAGCCAGCTTCCCAGCGCCCAGAAAGCGGGGGCGAATTCACGGTGGATGCAGCGTTTCTCAAAGCAGCGAATCAAGCCATCATTACCTCCACCCCCTGCCCGCAGTGAGCAGCGCTAAGCGGCCTCTTCGCAGCTCGCCTTCCCCCGTACGCGCTTCCATGAGCGCGGATCCGAGTGCAGCAGGACTCCGCGCCCCACATCCTGGGCGATCCGATGCAACTAAAAAAGCCTCGCTAATGCGCTGCCTGCTGAATCCTCTGCAGCAACAAGAAAAGGGGGGGCCGACATTGAAGGCAAAGTTCTGCCCCCTGGAGCCCACGAGTGGAAGTGCCTCTTAAAGGGGCCACTCATGGCCCTGGGCCAAGATAATGATACAGTTCCACTCTGAGGAAAGGTCTACAAATCCCGTTTTATCCACCTAATATGAGTCGGAGGTGCAACTGGACTTGTCTGGAACAAGTGTCAGAGAGGAAATGAACAAAACATTGGGTAAAAGTTGAGTTACAACTTGGACCCCTCCAGAAAGGGGAACCCCCCCCCCATAACCACTGCAGACCTTAACTTTTGCATCAAGCCTTAGCTGCATACAAACCAGTTCAAAGTTCAAAGCCAGACTGGCATTTTCTTCAGATAACTTGTCTGACATAACCACACATCGATTACGCCAGCGGACACCAGTCTTATCCACAAAGGGCCAGTGTGGCTGCAGGTTTTCATTCCAACCAAGCAAACTCACACCTCATCTAACTAATTAGTTAGATTGAGACCAACACATTGAACAAGTAGAATCTGGTGTGTTTCTTTTCTACTGGAATGAAAACCTGCAGCCACAATGGCCCGCTTAAGGATAAAATTGGTGACCCCTGCATTAGGCCGTCTGTGCACTTGATATACAGTTCATATGAAGGAAAACAGAATTTCCTTGCTTTTTTATAATAATAATAAATAATGATAAAATAATACAGTAATAAAATCACATAAAAATTTTAAAAATAATTTAATGCATATTATTCTCTTAAATAGATGCTTATTGGCTGTGCTGACATGAGAGTGTATGCAAAATAAAATAAGCTGCAATGATAAAGATACATATTCTTAAAGGCAAGTCCGTTTTCAAACACTTAATTGGCAGAAGACACTTCTTCCACTCCATTAATGGAACGCATTCCATTAACCGACTTATTTTCACAGGCCCCAACCTCGTAGAGAAGCATATCCAAAAGATAAAGTGCAGCAGAATAGTTTGGAGTTTTGATTAAAATATTAATAGAAATTCCACAGAGTTCTGAAAGGTGAGATGAATCCACTGCATATGGAGTTGGAAATGATGTGTGTTATAAAGCACTCCGATCCCCTTCTACCCAGTACTCCTCCGTCTGCATCTCTGTAAGGCGTGACACTGTCCTCTGGAAGGCAAATACTTCTTCCTCACCAGTGAAAATTGATAGCGAACTGGCTGCATCCTGACAATCCAACCAAAACAGTGAGAAGCAGAGTAAGTGATGCCCTCAAAAAATAAAAGTACTTCTTTAACAAGACCATTTATCACCCTTTTAAAATGTTATACTTTAAAGCAATATGTAACTCATTCTGGTGGTTATTAACAGAAATATAGTTTCATTACCCTTTTTAAGCCCAGGTCATCAATCAAAATGTGACTCTCATCATCGTGGTGTCCTTCATTTACGAACAGCTCCTCCAATGGCACCTCAGCCTGTAACACCACTCGTACCTGTAAAATTGTTCATTCTGACTGCATGAGTTTCGTTTGAGAATTTTATAAAAAAAAGAAATATGGTCAGAACAGCAGATTTTTTTAATATTTACCTTATGGTCATAGAACGCATCAATGAGCGTTATGAAGCGCCTGGCCTGGGTCTTCTTATTCAGAGTCAGTATTGGAATGTCCCGAATAAACACTGTGTCAAACACTGTAGAGATTTCCAAGTAGTCGCTGGCTCCTAAAGGCTAAAAATAAAACAACAAAACAAACTTGTTTAGTAGGCCTGAAAAGACTTCCTTTTGAGGGCAATGCCCTGACCATTAATGAAGACAGCAAACTCACCCTATCGCACAGCTCCTCAAAAGTGCAGTCTGCGATGGTCCCACATGCTTTGCTCAGTGTCACTGTCCTACCATGTACCTTCAGAGACCTGGGGCGGGTTACTGAAGAAATGAATGTATTTACTTTAGATACAGCTGAACAAAAATTTAGTTAAACATACATTATGTATAACATCTACAGATTTCCCACAAAAAAAAAACATTTTAGCTGACATAAATCAATGAAACAAATCAATGAAATGCTGAATCAAGCCTTCTTCTGGAGATATTCTACTTATGCTCCACAAAGCCCTTTCATAATCTACTTATTATACAGGAATTGTTCTGTTGCCAGCACAGCTTTATTTTGCACTTTACAGCACCAACAGTTTCAGAGGTGTGCACTATACAGAATGTTTTTTTCTTTCTTTAGTTTATCAGAGCAATGCTCAATTTTAAACATTTGGAATCCTTAACAGTATATCTTTAAGCTATGGGAGGGCAATGTGATGATGTTATTGGGATAAATTATGTCACAATACACTTTTCTAAGTATATTGTGGGTAGCATAAGTATTTAAAGAACCCACAGTATGTTTCATTACAAAGAAAGCATTATTTGGCCTGTTTAATTGGATTTAGTGCAATGCAGCGCATGAAATGCTGAATAAAAATCATTGTATTCACAGTTTTGGATATTCACTGTAAAGTAGAAGCACAAGTCTGGTCTGGGTCGAGACTGTAACGGTCTGTGTTTTGTCTTAGTCATGGGGTAAGGTGGAAATTGTTCTCAAGACCCAAGAGGTCACTAGAAATCAAACTTTTTTTCTATTATTACTGAAAATCAACAGTACCTTCAAATACCTTCAATACCCTCAACAAAACCTTCCAACAGAATAAAACTGTCTTTTCTCAACATGTTTAAATAACATGTTTGCTGGTTGAGGATCTAACTGATCCTTTTCATGATGACTTAACTTGGTATTATTTGTTTGTTAGTTGTTTGTTGATGTTCATGTTGATGCATTGTGAATGTGAAGGACACTCCATAAAAAGTTGACTTTTTCAACATATTTGGAGATACAGATATCAAGTCTTTATTTAAACAATGTTGATAGAAACAGGTGATTTAATTTAACAAGTGACGCTTAGTATTAACATTTTTGTCATTCTTTATATAATTAAAATAGACAGTAGTGCAGTTTTCTGACGTGGAAAAAGTGAGTACACCCCTACATATATCACTACTTCAGACATGTCAAATTTGAATCAGGTGCACTCGATCTGGTGCTAAGTATTAGAACACCATTAGAGAATATCTTGGAGGAACTCATCTTACTTAAACCTCAGATATCTGGTCTGGTTTGCTGTTTGTTATTGGAGTGTGTGGTATCATCTTGCCAAGAACAAAAGAGCTTTCTGAGGCCTTCAGACAAGAAAGTTGTACATACTGTGCGTCTGGGAAGGGTTTAAGAAGATATCCAAAATACTGGAAATCAATCATTTCTGAAACTGCACAAATTTGACCTACGGGTAGAGAGGCCAGTATGAAGCCTTTGCCTAAAAAGAACACCAGGGCAAGACTTAAGTTTGCTAAGGAATATCTAGGCAAGGACCAGGACTTCTGGAACAATGTGCTATGGATAGATGAGTCAGAGATGAGTCGTGTGGATACAGCACCAGAAGCCATGATCAGAAGAACCTCATACCAACTGTAAAGCATGGTGGTGGAAATGTTATAGTTTGGAGCTGTTTTGCTGGCAAACTTGCAATCATAGAAACAATTATGAATTCTCTTTCACGCCAGACAGTCAGAGAGTGCTTGAGGAGAATATGAGACCATCTGTAAAAAAGTTGAAGCTGAAGAAGTGGACCTTCAAACAATATAATTATCCCAAATATACAAGTAAATCCACCAAGGAATGGCTCAAAAGGAAGAAATGGAGGGTTATGGAATGGCCTAGTCAAAGCCCAGATCTGAATCCTTATGAAATGCTGTGGGAGGATTCGAAACAGGCTGCATATGCAAGAAACCCCTAAAACATACCACAGAAGAAATTCCTCACCGTATATGTCAGAAACTGGCAAACAGTTATAGGAAACGATTACATCAAGTTGTTTCTGCCAAAATGGGCAGTACCTGTTACTGAAGTCACAGGTGTATTTACTTTTTCAGTCTTTTCTGTCTTTTTCAGTTATTTCTTTGAAATAAATGTTTGCCAAGTAAAATTTCTATTGCTTTTTGTACTGTTACATAGCATTTATGTATACACTGTTTTGCTGATGGGCAAATACTGATACGTCCACATATGGGGTGTACTTACTTTTTCGCACGACTGCATATTTTTGCCATTTTGCCCACCTCTATCTTTAGCTACAACCAAAAATACTTTCATCAAGCCCTCAATAACCCTATACCCCCTCCCAATTTAACTGTTTTGAATCTCACTTCTGTATGTGCTTCTTAAGATTCAAACTTAACACATGTATTATCCATAAAAGAAACTTACTGTCATTCTGTTTGAATGCCATTTCATCAAAGAGTTTGTCCAATGTTTCCTGTACCTTGTCTTCACGCGAACTAATTCACAAAACAAAAAATGAGTTCAGTCAAGTTAGATTTAAAATCATTTAAGTAGGACTGTCTCTAAAATTATATAAGTTAAATGTGTAAAATGTCTGTCAGCTATACCTGGAATTTTACATTTCACTTAGACAAGCTTAGGTAAGTACACAGTCATAGGCCTAATTTACATCAGGCATTAGCATGCATCCCACGTGATCCGATCATAAGTGGACTACACTGAGTACAAGTGTGAATGGGGCGCAACGTGTCTCGGAGGCGTTCTGTGATCCAATCACTCAAACCACTTTTGGAGGTGTCAGGGATACATGTGACCACATAACATTTAAATGTGTTAATGCTAATGTCTCGATGTGGCTTGAAAGTGCTGAATGACCATTTAATCAACTGTGCCATTACAGTAGAGATAAAAATAGCTGTTTATTTTTTTTTGTCACCTCTCCTGTTTGTTTACAAGTTCTGTTAGCAATCCATGCCATCTAAACCATGTGACAACCCTTGCATTTACACCAACAAGGACTTACAGGACATTTTTCTCTGACAATAATTGCAGCAAGAGACTGATGTAGTAACTGTGGGTGGTACCCTTCATCCAGTCACAAAATCAAATCACACATGTTCACTAGCGATGCATTAGAGGCACATGGGAATGCCAGGTGGAAAGGGTTATACGCATCACTGTCCACTCACGGTCAGATCACTCGATACAGATCTTAATACCAGGTGTAAGCGGGGTTATATCCCTTAACTTAATAGACTTATTTAGAAGGCATAGTTTTTGTTTCTTACAGGTAGAAGAGTTTTCCTGCTGCAGGTCGATTTCTTTTGCGGTAGTCTATCCCAGAGTCTAGACGAATTGTTTGGCAATACTCCTATTAGGAAAAAAACCTAAGA